CATGCAAAACAAGGGCTTTGAAATTGCTCAGTATCTGAAAAAACAAAATGGAAAGTTGAGGTTTTGTTGGGAAATCGCTCAAGTGTTTAGACATGGGAGAATAGTTGACATACTCTAAACTCCCAACCACTAGGATTTTGGATCTGGGCACAAGCCATGATGCTCTTGAGTCCATACACTAGCTAGGTATACAAAAGAATGAGCTTTAGTTAACGAACCTAAGAGAAAAAACAGGTTGTTGTTTGGTGGGGAACGCTCAAGAACTTGGACATGCCACAACGCTTGAGTACCAAAACATCCCACACACCTCGGTTTTAGCACAAGCCAGCATGCTCTTGAGCCCATACACTAACCATGCATGCAAAAAGGAAGATGTTTGAGCATGCTCAATAGCAAGATAACCAAGTCGAGGTCTCGTAGGAATATTCTCAAGTACTGGAAAAAGGAACACATACGATATTAGAATTTTTTGCACTCTTAGGTTTTGGATCTGAGCACAAGCCAGGATTATCTAGAGCCCATGCACTAACTGATCATGCAAAACAAGGGCTTAGAAATTGCTCAGTATCTAAAAAACAAAATGGAAAGTTGAGGTTTTGTTGGGAAACGCTCAAGTGTTTAGACATGGGACAACAGTTGACATACTCTAAATTTCCAACCACTAGGATTTTGGATGTGGGCACAAGCCATGATTCTCTTGAGGCCATACACTAGCTATGTATGCAAAAGGAAATAGTTTTAGTGGACAAAGCACGTAAGTGATAAAAACAGGTTGTTGTTTCGTGCGGTACCACTCAAGAACTTGGCCATGCGACAACGCTTGAGATACCAAAACTTCCCACACACCTGGGTTTTGAATCCGAGCACAAGCCAGCATGCTCTTGAGCCCATACACTAACCATGCATGCAAAAAGGAAGATGTTTGAGCACGCTCAATAGCAAGATTACCAAGTCGAGGTCTCGTAGGAAAATGCTCAAGTACTGGAAAAAGGAACACATACGATACCAGAATTGTTTGCACTCTTAGGTTTCCGATCTGAGCACAAGCCAGGATTATCTAGAGCCCATGCACTAATTGATCATGCAAAACAAGGGCTTAGAAATTGCTCAGTATCTAAAAAACAAAATGGAAAGTTGAGGTTTTGTTGGGAAACGCTCAAGTGTTTAGATATGGAACAACAGTTGACATAATCTAAATTTCCAACCACTAGATTTTGGATGTGGGCACAAGCCATGATGCTCTTGAGGCCATACACTAGCTATGTGTGCAAAAGGAAATAGTTTTAGTGAACAAAGCACGTAAGTGAAAAAAACAGGTTGTTGTTTCGTGGGGTACCACTCAAGAACTTGGCCATGCGACAACGCTTGAGATACCAAAACTTCCCACACACCTCGGTTTGAATCCGAGCACAAGCCAGCATGCTCTTGAGCCCATACACTAACCATGCATGCAAAACGTAAGACGTTTGAGCACGCTCAATAGCAAGGTAACCAAGTCGAGGTCTCGTAGGAATATACTCAAGTACTGGAAAAAGGAACACATACGATACCTGAATTTTTTGCACTCTTAGGTTTTGGATCTGAGCACAAGCCATGATTATCTAGAGTTCCTGCACTAGCTGATCATGCAAAACAAGGGCTTAGAAATTTCTCAGTATCTGAAAAACAAAATAGAAAGTTGAGGTTTTGTTGGGAAACGCTCAAGTGTTTAGACATGGAACAACAGTCGACATACTCTAACTTCCCAACCACTAGGATTTTGGATTTGGGCACAAGCCATGATGCTCTTGAGGCCATACATCAGCTATGTATGCAAAAGGAATGAGTTTTAGTGAACAAAGAACCAGCTTGCCCTACGCCCCTTTTTTTTGCATGGCTGGTTAGTGCATGGTCTCTAGAGCATGCAGCTTGACCCTCAGGTCCCAAATCCCAATGGGTTGGGAGCTATGGCGTTTCAACTTTTGCCCCAGGTACGAGTTTGGTGAGCATTTTCCCATAAGCGCACATGCTCTTCCTACCTTTGTCGCACCTATTCAGCATGCCGTAAGCCCTTTTTTTTTTCATGGTTGATTTGTGCATGGGCTCTAGAGCATGCAGCTTGACCCTCAGATCCAAAATCCACAGGGTTTGGGAGCTATGCCATTTCAACTTTTGCCCCAAGTACGAGTTTTGTGAGCATTTTCAGCTAGACTGGTCATATCATTTGAGGAAGGATATTGAATCCTCAGCGTGCACGCCCTCGTTTTCAGCTAGACCGATGACTTTCTTTTAGGAAGGATATGAATCCATGGCATGCAGGCCCTCGTTTTCAGCTAGACCGGGCACTTCGTTTTAGGAAGGACATGAATCCCTGGCGTGCACGCCCTGGTTTTCAGCTAGACTGGTCACTTCGTTTTAAGAATGATGTGAATTCCTAGCATGCATGCCCTCGTTTTCAGCTAGACCGGTCACTTCGATTTAGGAAGGATATAAATCCCTGGTGTGCAGGCCCTCTTTTTCAGGTAGACCGGTCACTTCGTTTTAGGAAGGATATGAATCCTTGGCGTGCAGGCCCTCGTTTTTAGCTAGACCGGTCACTTGCTTTTAGGAAGGATATGAATCCATGGCATGCAGGCCCTCGTTTTCATCTAGAACGTCACTTCGTTTTAGGAAGGATATGAATACTTGGTGTGCAGGCCCTCGTTTTCAGCTAGACCGGTCACTTCCTTTTAGCAATTATATGAATCCCTGGCGCGCAGGCCCTCGTTTTGAGTAGACCGGTTACTTCCTTTTAGGAGGGTTGAGACTATTCACAACCTATCAATGCCATTAGAATGGACCTGCGAAGCAGTTTCCCAGAAAATGTCACTCATGATGCGTTGTGGTCCGCGGGTACATAAGGTGCATGGGGGTGTATCAGGGTGCATGGGGTGCATGGGGATGCATGGGTGTGCGTGGGGTGCATTGGGAGCATTGGGATGCATGGGGGTGCCTGTGGATGCATGGGGTGCATGGGGTTGCATGGGGGTGCATGGTGTGCATGGGGTGCTTGGGGTGCATGGGGTCGCATGGGGTGTACAGGGTGCATAGGGGTACATTGGGTGTGTGGGGGTGCATGTGGTTCTTGCGGGTGCATGGGGGTGCATGTAAGTGTGTGTCATGCATGAGGTACACGGGGATGCATAGAGTTGAAAGGCATGCATGGGGTGCATGGGGGTGCATGGGGGTGCATGGGGGGCATGGAGGTGCATGGGGATGCATTGGAGTGCATGGTGATGTATGTTTTGGACGGGGGTGTGTGGGGGTGGATGGGGGTGCATGGAGTGCATGGGGGTGCATGGGGTGCATGGGGTGCATGGGGTGCATGGGCGTGTCTAGGGGTGCATGGGGTACATGGGGGTGCATGGGGTGCATGGGGGTGCACGGTGTGCATGGGTTGCATGGGGTTCACAGGGTTGCTTGGAGGTGCTTGGGATGGCATGAGGGTGCAAGGGGCGCATCGGGGTGCATGGGGGTGCATGGGGTGCATGGGGTTGCATTGGGTTGCATGGGGTGCATGAGGTGCATAGGGTGCATGGAGTGCAAGGGTGTGCAGGGGGTGCATGGGAGTGCTTGGGAGTGTATGGGGGTGCATAGGGGTGCATGGGGGTGCATGGGGTGCATGGGGGTACGTGGGGGTGCATGGGGTGCATGCGGTGCACGCGGGTGCACCAGGTGGATGGGGTGCATGGGGATGCATGGGGTGCATGGGGGTTCATGGGTGGCATGGGGTGCATCGGGGTGCATGGGGGTGCATGGGGTACATGGGGGTGCATGGGGTGCATGGGGGTGCACGGTGTGCATAGGTTGCATGGGGTTCACAGGGTTGCTTGGACGTGCTTGGGAGGGCATGAGGGTGCAAGGGGCGCATGGGGGTGCATGGGGTGCATGGGGTTGCATACGGTTGCATGGGGTGCATGAGATGCATAGGGTGCATGGAGTGCAAGGGTGTGCAGGGGGTGCATGGGAGTGCTTGGGAGTGTATGGGGGTGCATAGGGGTGCATGGGGGTGCAAGGGGTGCATGGGGGTGCGTAGGGGTGCATGGGATGCATGCGGTGCACACGGGTGCACCAGGTGCATGGGGTGCATGGGGATGCATGGGGTGCATAGGGGTTTATGGGTGGCATTGGGTGCATCGGGGTGCATGGGGGTGCATCGGGCTGCTTGGTGGTGCTTGGGGGTGCAGGGGGTGCAAGAGGTGCATGGGGGTGCACGGGGTGTATGGGGGTGCATGAGGTGCATGGGGGGCATGGGGTGCATGGGGTTGCATGAGGGTGCATGTGGGTGCATGGGGTTGCATTGGGGTGTATGGGGTGCATGGGGTGGATGGGGTGCCTGGGGTGCATGGGGTGCATGGGGTGCATGGAGGTGCATAGGAGTGCTTGGGTTGCATGGGGGTGTATGGGGTGCATGGGGGTGCATATGGGTACGTGGGGTGCATGGGTTGCATAGGGGTGCATGGGGGAATACGGGGCTGCACGGGGGTTCAGAGGGTGTAACGCGTGCATGGGGTTCATGAGGGTGCATGGGGTGCATAGGGGTGCAGGGTAATAAAAATCATGAGTCTGATGTAAATTGGAAAAATAACATGAAAATCAGGGCTGTCAGGGTATTTCACCCGTTTAATTTGGGGTCTGTTCGGGCGCCTCGGGACTGGGAAGTGTCGGACGACTCCACGTGTAGATTTGGGGGTCGGGGCCTGAGTTCTCGGGCTGAGCCTGGGCTTCCGAAGTTCAGGGTGTACGCGGCGTAGCAAGGATTCACACAGGAAATGTAATTTCCTTATGTCAAGCCAAGGTAGTTTTTGTGAACATGAAAAGAACACCAGTTTGTTGAGATAGTAACAAGTTTAGCGAAACTCGCAAAAGTGTCGTGACAACTCGAAATTTCCAAACCCAAAAAATGTTCCACTGGTCCAGGAGGGACACCAGCGTGTTCGTCTCGAGGTTTGCGAAAGCAGATGACGAAGACGTGTTCGAAAAAAACTCATGTTGATAAAGACGTTCCACGCCCTAACCCCTTGATCATATCCGTCCAGTGTTGCTTCTATCGGGGTGAGCCATCAGAATTTGGACGATCAGCAGATTGTCTGATCGTAGGGCGTTGCTCGTGACCTCTTTAACGGTGGATCGCCGCACACCACCGTGAGCATGCGTCCCTCGCGGCCCTGCGGCCACGTGCCGACCCTCATGCGTGCGTTGGCCAGGGCGTACCAGAGCCACTCGCCGCTTCCCGCGTCGGCGTCCGCGTTCGAACGCCTCGTGCCAGCCCTCTCCGGTTCCGCTCCTTGCCATCCACCCTCTCACCCGCTCGCTTCCCATTCGCTCGCCCCGCTCGCCTCTCGCCCGCTCGGCCCGCTCGGCCCGCTCGTCCCCCTTTCTTTCGCTTCTTACTCGCCTGCCCCCACTCCTCTCCCGCTGCCCGCCGTTATCCGCCACCCCCCTGCCCGCCACCTCTCCACCGAGGGGCTTGCGGGCGGCAGCACGCCCAGCGAGCAGACAGGGGGTGCAGAGGCAGCTGGGGCTGGGGGAGAGGAGCGAGGGGCGCAGGGTGCGGGGCAGGAGGGGGAGGGCGGAGGTGGGGGCGAGGGGAGTGCGGCGGAGGAGGAGTGGCGGCGTGCGGCGGAGGAGGCGCGGGAGCGGCTGCTGCTGGCGTACGCGGACATGGAGAACCTCCGCCAGCGCGCCAAGCGGGACGTCGACGCAGCCAGGCTCTTCGCCGTGCAGGTGACGCCCGTGCAGGTGACGCCCGTGCAGGTGACGCCCGTGCAGGTGACGCCCGTGCAGGTGACGCCTGTGCAGGTGACGCCCGTGCAAGTGACGCCCGTGCAGGTGACGCCTGTGCAGGTGACGCCCGTACAGGTGACGCCCGTGCAGGTGACGCCCGTGCAGGTGACGCCCGTGCAGGTGACGCCTGTGCAGGTGACGCCTGTGCAGGTGACGCCCGAGCAGGTGACGCCCGTGCAAGTGACGCCCGTGCAGGTGACGCCCGTGCAGGTGACGCCCGTGCAGGTGGTTTGCTCACAGCACGGGTGTGCAGGGGGTCAACCTGCATGATGCTGGTGGTAAATTGCTTGCTCTCTTCTTCGTTCTCATGCTTACATGCCTTTGGCTGCTCTCTTATGGTTGCTCGTCATCCCTCTAGTCTTAATGTCCTGCTTGTGTATGCGCTGCATTGCTGTTCTCTAAATCATACGCCTCCGAATCCGGGGTTGTTTCCTGCCATAATCATGGGCATGGGCATGGGCATGGGCATGGCATGGCACGGCACGGCTTGCACGAGCGTCAGGGGTTCGCCAAGGGTCTGGCGGACGTGGCGGACAATCTCTCCCGGGCGGCTGCTTCTGTGTCGCTGCCACCGCGCTCCGTCTCCCCTGCTGCCGCTCAAGAGGAGGGCAGTGGTGGGGCGGGCAGTGGGGGGCGCGACCCAGAGGCGCTGCTCAAGGCGCTGCTGGATGGCGTCGTGATGACAGAGAAGCAGCTGCTGCAGGTGAGGCAGAGAAGCAGCTGCTGCAGGTGATGCATGCGATTGTTTGCGCCTTCCCCTAAAGCTGCACGTGTGCCATGTGCCTGCATGGCGGCGTGGGTGCATTGGCATGTGTGTGTGGGCATTGTCATGTGTGTGTGGGCATTGTCATGTGTGTGTGGGCATTGCCATGTGTGCGGGCCACGGCAGGTGTTCCAGCAGCATGGCATGGAGCGCCACGACCCCCTGGGGCACGCATTTGACCCCAACCTCCACAACGCCGTCTTTGAACTCGACGACCCCTCCAAGGAACCCGGCACCATTGCCCACGTGCTCAAGGTAAGATGAGACCATGGCCCATGCATCTGCCTCGGGTGCACGCATCTGCCTCCGGTGCATGCATCTGCCTCGGGTGCATGCATCTGCCTCGGGTGCATGCATCTGCCTCGGGTGCACGCATCTGCCTCGGGTGCACGCATCTGCCTCGGGTGCATACGTGTGCCTCTGCCGCATGTGAATATTCCAACCGCTGTGACTTGTTCAGCGCCTGATGTGGCTTCCTGCATGTGCTGCCTGCCTGTGCCCCTGGCAGGTGGGCTACACCCTTCACGGCCGCGTGGTGCGCCCAGCTGACGTGGGGGTGGTCAAGCGCAGTCAACCCTAGTCCGTGCCCACGTGGGGGCGGTCAGTCAAGCGGAGTCAAACGCATCTGCGTCTGCTGCGCAAGGGCGTGTTAGGCATAGGAATTGAGTCAGAAGAAAGATAACCAGGTGGATTGCGCGGTAGGAGCCAAGTTGTTTGTGGTAGATTCGAAGAGGCTATTCATCCGCGCAGCCATTCTCGGGACAGCTGAGAGCGGGTTAGAAGTAGCCGGCGTCCAGTATTTTTATTAGACGCCGGCTGTTTTCTAGAGGCTAAGAGTTACCTACGTCGGCTTGAGCCCGCTCGAACACCTACATCCGAACTGAGTCCTACAATGCCATGGACCCTCTCGTCCGCACTGCAAGCCAGTGCGCTATAGCTTATCATTCTCAACCGATCGCAAGCGCAGGACTCTGGCGTGGCCTGCTCCGTACAGGCGAGCCAACGCCGTCCACACCACAGTGCACACCTCACTCACTCCCCCCTCCTCCCCCACCCAACTTATTCCACATCGTCCTTGCCGCCTGATCCCGCCTCTCACCTCCCCCGCCGGCCATGTTGCCATGCGCCGCGACCTCGTTGCGATCGCGCGCTGCTCCTCCCTCCATCTCCGCCCCCGCGTTTCTCGGCCTGCCCGCGTCTCACGCTCTCGCTCCTCCCTCGCTTCCAACGCCGCGCGTTTCGCTCGTCTCCGTCCCTTGGGCAGCGGCTCGCGTAATCACACGGGCCTAGCGCCCACTCCACGCGTCACGCAGCGCCAGTAGACGCTTCAAGCAGCGCCACTAGACGCTTCAAGCAGGGCCAATAGACGCTTCAAGCAGCGACACTAGACGCTTCAAGCAGCGCCCACTAGACGCGTCAAGCAGCGCCCACTAGACGCGTCAGCAGCGCCCACTAGTCGCGTCAAGCAGCGCCACTAGACGCGTCAAGCAGTGCCCACTAGACGATTCAAGCAGCGCCCACTAGACGCGTGAGGTGTTGCGACGCGCGGCCGCCATGCGGCCATGCAACGCGCGGTGAGGTGTAGGTCGTCGGTTCCCTCGGGCAGCACCTCTAGGGCAGCACCACTGGGGCAGCACCACTAGGCAGCACCACTGGGGCAGCACCAGGGCAGCGCCACTAGGGCAGCACCAGGGCAGCGCCACTGGGGCAGCACCGAACCACCCCAACATCTTGCCCGCGTGGGGCAGCGGTCAGTGAGCGACCGGCGGGTGAGCGAGTGGCGGCAGTGGTGAGCGGGGGCGTGGCGATGACAACAAAGCGAACTCGACAGCTGGCAATTGTGAGCCGCCGCTGGCTCCTGCTCTCCTGGCTGGCTCCTGCTGTCCTGGCTGGCTCCTGCTGTCCTGGCTGGCTCCTGCTGTCCTGGCTGGCTCCTGCTGTCCTGGCTGGCTCCTGCTGTCCTGGCTGGCTTCAGTCCCTGTCGCTCTCACTCCGCCATTCCTCGCCCTCACTCCTTCACGGCCTTCCCTCGCCATTTCCTGCGATGCCACGTCATGACGTGCTGTCTGCCACATGTCGTATTGCCACGTGGCAGGGCATATTGACAGGCTGTGTCATCACCGCCATTCTATATCTCTTCGTCGTGCTTCAGGTGCGCTCTGCTGCATTCAGGTGCGCTCTGCTGCATTCAGGTGCGCTCTGCTGCATTCAGGTGCGTTCTGCTGCATTGCATTCAGGTGCGCTCTGCTGCATTCAGGTGCGCTCTGCTGCATTCAGGTGCGTTCTGCTTCATTGCGCAGGTGCGCTCTGCTGCATTCAGGTGCGCTCTGCTGCATTCAGGTGCGCTCTGCTGCATTCCGGTGCCCTCTGCTGCATTCAGGTGCGCTCTGCTGCATTCAGGTGCGCTCTGCTGCATTCAGGTGCGCTCTGCTGCATTCAGGTGCGCTCTGCTGCATTCAGGTGCGTTCTGCTGCATTCAGGTGCGCTCTGCTGCATTCAGGTGCGCTCTGCTGCATTCAGGTGCGCTCTGCTGCATGCAGGTGTGCTCTGCTGCATTCAAGGCGTGTGTCTTACGGTTCTGCTTCTGGAAGTTCCGGAACTCGTTCTGGAACTGGCGAAGATTTTGCCTGGGGAGGAGCTCGCGAAGCCCAGTCGAAATGTGCTGCGAACTGTGTAACCAGCCCAAGTTCCGGAACTTGCCGAGTTCCGGAACTGTAAGACACACGCCTTCAGGTGCGCTCTAATCATGAGTTTCTGCTCTCGTGTTTTCCTCCCGTCTTCTGCTCCTGTGCTCTGCTACCGTGTGCTGGAGCCATCCCTCTCTTTCAACAACAACGTCCTGGTCTTTGCCGTGTGGCATGGCATGGCACGGCATGGCATGTGGCGTGGCAGCATCATGTGTGGGAGGAGAAGAAGAAGCCATCAGTTGACCTTGACACGCGCCTCAAGGCGATTGAAGGTGCGTTGGCACGCGCCTCAAGGCGATTGAAGGTGCGTTGGCACGCGCCTCAAGGCGATTGAAGGTGCGTTGGCACACGCCTCAAGGCGATTGAAGGTGTGTTTGCCGTTTCACTCCTTCCATTCCGCGCGTGCACGGCTCCCACATCTTACCGTCTCCCACCAATGCTTCACTCACTCTTGCTTCCCCTTTCTCTCTCCCCTTTGCATCTGCCATTTCCCCGATCTCTCCCCACCTCTTCCCCCTCAAACCCCCGTCTCTCCCTCCTCTCTCCTGTCTTCCTTATCCCTCCCTCCTTCCCCTTTCCCCTGCCTCTGTCTCCCCCTCTCTGTCCCCCTCCGCCCCTCAGAGCACGTGGCGCGGGTGGCGGCGGCGGACGTGGCGGAGGTGGTGAGGGAGGAGGCGGGGCGGCTGGGCGGGCAGGTGGAGGCGGTGCAGGCGCTGCAGCGGGCCAGCGCCGAGGCGCAGGGGGACAGGGGGGCGGCGCTGGAGGGGCGGGCGAGGGAGGCGGAGGAGAGGGCGGCGCAGCTGAACGACACGGTGGGGCGGCTGACGGCCCAGCTGCGGCAGCAGGCCGACACCATCGCTGCACTCAAGGTGGGGGGGGCATGGTCGCTGCTGCTGTGTGAGTGATCACGCATTGATTGATCCAATAGAACACCAAATAGGTGCCATTGTGTCAATACGTGGCAGCAACTGTGTGATGACACCTGTGAATGTAAACTCGTAGAGTGCTTGTAAAAAAAACTCTTGGAATTAAAAATGGTGGTAACCGGTTTCGGCTCGAAGCCTTCTTCAGACCACCCTCTGTGCCCCTGCACCCTCTGTGCCCCTGCACCCGCTGTGCCCCTGCACCCGCTGTGCCGCGTCGCCCTGAAAGCATCATACTCCCTCGGATGCCATGCCGTGCCCCCTGCATCACAACCTCTCGCCCTCGTTCGCGTGCCATGACATGCCATGCCATGCCATGCTATTACTGTATGCACCACCCGCATGGGGGCAGGCAGCGGAGCAGGCATCAGCAGCGGCAGCAGGGAAGGGCGGGCGGCCGTTGGCGCGCACCGTGGTGGACGAGGACCACCCGTCGCGCTGGCGCCAGCAATCCTTCCACCGCGCCGGCGCCTACGGCTTCATCCAGTACAGGTGGGGTGGGGCCCACGGCTTCATCCAGTACAGGTCGTTCATGCACCACCCCACACGTGAGGGGTGCACACCGTCACCGTGCGCTGCTTCCATCGCTGCTTCCACTTGTGCCACCAGCATGCTTCCACTTGTGCCACCAGCATGTTTCCACTTGTGCCACCAGCATGCTTCCACTTGTGCCACCAGCATGTTTCCACTTGTGCCACCAGCATGTTTCCACTTGTGCCACCAGCATGTTTCCACTTGTGCCACCAGCATGCTTCCACTTGTGCCACCAGCATGTTTCCCTACCATGATGTCCCCTGATCCTCTCTCGCCCTCGCCCCCTGCCTTCCCTCTCGCCCCTCGCCCCGCGCCCTGCATGCAGCGCATACCGCCTGTCAGCGTCGCGCATGGCGGTGGTAGGGCTGGGCGCTCTGGGGCTGCGGGCGAAGCGGCGCGTGGAGGGGTGCTGGTGGCACCGCCTGGACGGGCGCACCGTGATCGCAGGGAAGCTGACGCAAATGGTGATGGAGGAACACCACAACTACCTGGTGGGTTGGGGGGTAAGCGACGCGAGCAACTTTGTTGATGGCCTGGTCACCCTGCTTGCCCGTTAACGTTGTGTTCCCCTGTGCTGCTGTGTGGTGCAGTACGAGCTGGTGGTGCTGCAGTGCGAGCTGGAAGAGGAGGTGGAGGAGACGGGCGGGCACCTGAGGATCTTCCTCGACCGCCAAGTGCTGTACCCCTACAGGGAGGACGGCAAAGAGGTAAGTGCTGTACCCCTACAGGGAGGACGGCAAAGAGGTAAGGCGCGGGAGTGCAATCATGCTGGTCGCACGGGAATGCAATCATGCTGGTCGCGCGCCTCGAGAATGGTAGGAACACGATGAGAAGAGGGCATGCATGGTGCATGCATTCAGCCGCACAGGGTGATCACCATCTCAACCTGATTCTCATCCCCATGCCGTCTCTGTGTCTTCCTCCTCCCTGCAAGCCAGAAGGTGGAGCGTGGCGACGGCCCCTTGCCGTTCCGCTTTGCGTTCTGCGGGCCGCCCATGCACGCGGAGATGGAGCAGCGCAGCGTGCTGCAGTTCGTCGACTACCACCGCCTCGCCGCCGGCTACGACCACTTTGTTCTCTACGACGCCACCGGCGTGCCGCCCGCCCTCACAGCAGCGCTGCAGCCGCTGCTGGACGCAGGGCTACTCACCGTGGCGGACTTCCGAGAGGCATACCAGTACGACTCGTGGTACTTCGCCCAGGTGCGCTGCCGCCTGCGCATGCTTTTGTGGCCTCGCTCTCCCATGCCTCGCTCGCCCATACCTCACTCTCCCATGCCTCGCTCTCCCATACCTCACTCTCCCATGCCTCGCTCTCCCATGCCTCGCTCTCCCATACCTCGCATGCCATCAACTGCTCCTTGCCTTGCTCCCGCACACCACTGCCCTCACACCGCCTCACACCCTCCTGCTCTCATCCCTCGCATCCTCATGCACCAACTGTCTCAGCCCCTGCCTCCATCATTCCTTCTTCCCCTCGCCCCTCTCCTGAAGGAAATAGCTTGGAAGAGAAAAGATTGATTGAGTAGGGAGCCAAGAGGCTCTTTTGTACAAAACAAGGAGCAAGGAAGAGTTGGAAGGGAAGCTCTCCTATTGGCCATAAAGTGGACCAATGGGAGAGGTTGCTTGTAGGGCAAGCAACCACAAAGTGTGGTGCTCTTTGATTGGCCACAATGTGGACCAATGAGAGAGATTGCTTGGAAGGCAAGCAACCACTAAGTGTGGTGCTTGGTGATTGGTTGGTTCCTAGGACCAAGGACCATTTGGTTGGAATAGTGCCAACCAAATGTCTAGGACCAAATCCAATCTTGACCAACCCAAATGTGGGGTTGGTCAACCCAACCAACAACCCCCCAATATTTATAATGACTACACCTCCTAATCTAGGCATGCATGTTGTATAGATATATATTTTACAACACAACCCCCCAACATGCATAAGACTAGAGGGCTTGAATCAAGAGGTGGACGAGGGAACAGGGGGAGCGGGTCCAAGAAGGCGAAGGAGGGATGAGTGGGCGGCGTGGGGGAGGGCTTTGGTGAAGATGTCGGCAAGATTGGCAGCAGAGTCAATCTTGCCCAGTTGGAGGTGGCCACCCTGCACAAGCTCGCGAATGAAGTAGTGGCGAAGCTCAATGTGCTTGGAGCGCCCGTGGAACACGGCATCCTTCGTGAGGTGGATGGTGCTGGCGTTGTCGCACCAGATGGTGGGACAACGCTGAGGGGCACCAAGCTCCTCAAGAAGGAAGGAGAGCTAGCGGGCCTCCTGCGCAGCCATGGTAGCGGCATAGAGCTCCGCTTCGCAAGAGGAGAGGGCAATGGAGGAGGAGCGGGTGGAGCGCCAGCTGATGAGGCCACTGCCAAGAGAGAAGCCATAGCCCTGAGAGGAGCGGCGGTCAGGCCTAGAGTCAGCCTAGGAGGAATCAGAGTAGCCAGTGAGGAGGGGAGGGGAGGGGCCGCCAAGGGTAAGGACGTAGTCCTTGGTTCCCCGAAGGTAGCGGAGGACACGCTTTGCCGCTTGCCAATGGGCGGCATCATGCTTGCCGGTACCAACGAAGCGGGCCAAAACGCCGATGGGGTCTGCCAGGTCAGGGCGGGTGGAGACCATGGCATACATGAGAGAGCCGATGAGCTCAGCGTAGGGGTGGGAGGAGGAGGAGGGGGAGGTGAGGGGAGTGAGGTGGTGCCCAACAGGAAGAGGGGTGACCTGAGGGGTGCCTCGAGCCATGTCGAACCGCTCCAGGACCTGCTGCAGGTAGTAGCCCTGGGAGAGGGAGATGGTGCGAGCAGCACGGTCGCGGGTAATCTCCATGCCGAGATAGTGCTGCAGCTCCTCTAGATCCTTACACTTGAGCCGGCCGCCAAGCTCACGCTTGACGCGCTCGAGCTCGGCGGAGTCGGCAGTGATGAGGATCATATCGTCGACATAGACGAGGATGTAGAAGGGGGAGGGGGAGGTGCGGAGGAAGAGGCTCGGGTCGGCGCGGGAGGTGCTGAAGCCAAGCTCGGCGAGGGTGGCAGCAAGCTTGGCATGCCACTCCCTTGGTGCCTGCTTGAGCCCATAGACTGGTCGACGCAGCTGCCAGACAGAGTCGGAAGGAAAGGGGAGGTGGAAGCCTGCAGGACGCTCCATGTAAATGAGCTCGCGCAAGACCCCTTGGAGGAATGCGTTGGAGACGTCCATGGAGTGAATCTCCATGTTGAGGCGAGCTGCGAGGTCGAGGACTGCGCGAATGGTAGCGGGCTTGGCGGTGGGAGAGAAGGTGTCGAAGAAGTCGACAGCGTAGCGCTGGGTGAAGCCCTTGGCGACGTAGCGGACCTTGTGGACCGGCGGCTCGCCAGGAAGCTGCTTCACCCGAAACACCCACTTCCCTTTGACCACGTTCGTGGTAGAGAGAGGGCGGGGCACATCCACAAAGGAGGAGTTGGCAATAAACGCCTCCAACTCCTTGAGGATGGCCACGAGCCAGAGGTGAGCGTCAGGGCACGCCATGGCCTCCCCGTACGTGGCGGGGACGAAGATGGTGGGGGCGGAGGAGAAGGCGAAGACTGGTGTGCCGCTGAGGTCAGGAGAGATGGGTAGGAGGGCTGGATCATGCAGGTGGAGGTTGAGGAACTCCTCATGGGAGTCCTCGAGGAGGGAGGAGTGGAAAATGAATGGGAGGACTGCAGCTGCTGCGGCTACTGCTGCTGAGGATGCATCTGCTGCTGCTGCTGCTGCTGAGGCGGCTGCTACTGCTGCATCTGCTGCCGCCGCTGCTGCTGCTGCGGGTGAAGGCGAGGAAGGAGCGACGGCTGCTGCTGCTGCTGGTGCTGCTGCTGGTGCTGCTGCGGTGGGTGGAACTGCTGCTGCAGCTGTTGCTGCTGCTGTTGGGACTGCTGTACTGGAGCTCGACGGCAGGGTTGGGCTAGTGTTTTGTTGTAAGACTGTCTGTAAAAGGAGGTCCATGAGAGGGGAGAGAGGAGGCAAGGTAGAGGAAGAGAGGATAACAGGAGGCGGGGCACCTAGGACTGCGTCACGCGACCTGGTGTGGGGATACCGGGTGAGGATGGAGCGGGAGGGACGCAGGGGGGGAGGGGGTCGCGGGGGAGAGGGGGAGGAGGGGAGGGGGGAGGATGGGAGGGAGCGGAGGGGGAGGAGTGGGACGGGGAGGCGGGGGGAAGAAAAGGGTCAGGGTCCAATATGTCACCAGAGGAGGGGGGAGCACTAGGGATTGAGGCAGCGGGGAATGGAGGAGGTGGAGCGGGGGGGAGGATGGGAGGGGGAGGGAGAAGAGGGGGTGGGATAGTGTCGGACCACGTGAGGGGCCTGGGAGCAGGGGCGAGAGGGTCAGTGGGGGGAGGAGTGGAATAGTAGGGTGTGGACTCATCAAAGACTACATCCCGACTGCGGAGGAAACGACCTGAGGGGGGGTGAAGGAAGAGGTAGTCCGGGGAGGAGGGATTATGACCAAGGAAGATGAAGGGGAGGGTACGGGAGGCGAGCTTTCCCATGGTGCAGGGGCGGTCCGCAGGGTGAATGAGGACATACGCCCTGGAGCCCCACACACGGAGGGAGGAGACGTCAGGCTTGGCCGACGTCCAGAGCTCGGTGGGAGTGGTGGAGGGAAGAATAGGGTGGGGGTATAGGTTAGTAAGGAGGGTGGCGTGAAGGAGGGCATAGCCCCAGAGAGAAGGGGGGCAAGAGGCATGGACGAGGAGACAGCGAGCAATCTTGGTGATCTCCCGAACACGGCTCTCGACCACACCATTCTGTTGGGGGGAGTGGGGGAGGGTGTGAGTCTGGCGAATGCCATGAAGCTCACAGTAGGAGGCTACATGTCGATTAAGAAATTCGCCACCGCCATCAGAGTGAAGGCGGCGCACAGGGCGGCCAAAGTGGGTGCTCGCCTACTTGAGCCAGGCGATGATCGCAGCCGGACGAATATCGGCTGTGATCATCGACCAGAACAAGCATGTAGCGATGGCCCTGGCGGGAAGGGGAGGGGTTGGGCCCCAAGAGGTCCATGTGAACAAGATCAAGCGGCTGAGCAGCAGCGGAGGGGGAACTCTGATGCGGCAGCTGCTTGAGCTTGCTCTGGACACAGACGGAGCAGGGAGGGGCAAGGGAGGGAGGGAGGGGAGGGAGGGTGAGGGGAAGACCTCGAAGGAGACCTGAGGAGACGGTCGAGCGGAGGGTGGCAAAATTGGGGTGACCAAGCCTGTGGTGGAGGAGGACGGTGGGATGGGAGAGGGATCGACAGGAGCAGGTTGGGTCAGGGGGGAGGGGGGGAATGGTTGGGTTAGAGGGAGGGAGAGGAGGGGGAGGGATGTGAGGTGGGGGGAGGGAGCGGGAGACTGCTTGGGCAGAGGGAAGACGAGGAACTCGAAGGGTATATAGGCGGGAGCGAGGACAAAAGGGAATACGGGAGAGGAGGCGACCTGTGGGATGGTATAGGAGGCAGTGATTAGCGCGACCTGGGAAGACGGTGGTGATACCAGCCTGCTGAAGGGATCGCTGGGAGAGGAGGTTAGTACGGAGGGAGGGGATGTGTAAACCAGTGACAGTACCTGAGGGGAAGAGGGGACAGGGGAGGGTAGAGGTGTGGCGACAGGGAATAGAGAAGCTGGAATCGGCACCAAGGAGGGAGGTGGGGGCTGGGAGGGGGTGAAGGGTACCAGCATCACGAAGGACGGACTCGGTGGCTCCACTGTCAAGGACAAAGTCCAGCGTGGTGGAGGGGGGAGGATGTGGGGGAGGAGGTAGGACGGAGTACTGAATCACATTCTCATTAATAGCAGCCGAATACATAGAAGGGGCGGGGGTTCCAGCCTGACTAACCATGCCAACAAAACCAGAGGAGGGGAAAGGAGTCACACTGCCTGTGGCTGAGAGCGCAGGAGACGCGCCCGAGAGGTGAGCTGCGGAAGCGGCGGTGCCGGCGGTCCAAGCGGGGTAGGGCTGCTGGGGGGGAGCCATAGGAGGAGGTGCAAGGGGGAGCTGCGACTGGAGGTCAAGCTGCTGCTGGAGCTGCTGGAGCTGCTGCTGCAACTGGGAGAAGAGGTGCTGCTGCCCCTGCTGCTGCTGCTGCTGCTGAAACGGCTGCGGCAGGATCTGCTGCGGAGTCTGCTGCTGCTGCTATTGCTGAGAGACGGCCTGGTGGGCCAAGGGGGAGGAGACGGGCTGGAAAAGAGGGGAGGTACGAACCTCTTGAGGAGTGGGGCGAGGGGAGAGGGAGGACCAGCGGGGGGGGGTGCCGGTGTTGCCGCGGGCAAAGCGCTTTGAAGCAAGAGTCAGTGGCATGAGTGGTCTGGCCGCATCGCTGACCCCGCGTGGGGCCATAGCGAGGGAGATACTGACAAGGAGGAAAGGCGGCTGCTGCACCACGTCCTGCGCCGTTGCCACCACGACCCGCACCACCACCACGACCAGCGCCACGCCCACCCCGCGCCCTCCCCTGGTGTTGCGCTGCTGAGCAACAGCGGCAGTTGAGGAGGAATGGCGCAAGAGGTCGGCTTCGGTGGTGATAATCCACTGGGCGACTTCAGCTGGGGTGATGCGCTTGTCGATCAGCTGCATGTAGGCGATCTTATGGGTGTTGAAGGCAGGAGTCAAGCCTTCAAGGAGGTGGCAGCAGAGCACTGGGTCCGGGTACGGCACGCCAAGAGCCGCCAAGCGCCGAGCAAGGTCGAGGACGCGACGCGTGAAGGCAGCTGCGCCGGTGGTAGAGTCCATGGTGAGGCTCTGGAACTCCTTGATGAGGGAGTAGAGGGTGGCAACGTCCTGCCGATCATAGAGATCGGTGAGGAGGCGCCAGAGGTGGGAGGAGGAAGTGGGAGCAAGCTCGCGCTTTAGGGTGGGAGGAATGGTGGCGAGGAGGACAGTGAGCGCGCGCCGGTCAGCGACACGCCAGGCGGCGAGGTCGGTGATGTATGCGCGCTCGCGCCTGACGTACTCCGCGAGCTCCGCCTGATACGTGTTGTAGGCGGCAGTGGCGGCGTCATGCTCGGCGCGGGAAGCCTCGAAGAGCAGCTGCTGGCGGACGTGGTCGGTGAGGCCGGCACGGTAGGTGCGAATGGCGGTCTCGGAGCTCTGAGGGTCGTTGACGTCAGGGGCGAAGGTTGGAGGATCGCCAGGGCTGACGGGAGCATCGCCAGGAGGAGGAGGTGCATGGCCCGCGGGAGCAGTCGGCTGGGCAGGTTGAAGACCGCGCTCCTCGAGATGGACAACGGCTTTCAGGTTGTAGCCGTTGACCGTCACCGAGGAGAGAAGCACCGTGACGGTTTGGGCATAGGAATGCCAATTGACCGCGGTGTTGTCGGGCAGCAGCTCAAGAGCGTCGACGGAGGTAAGGTCCACCGAGGAATCGGACGCCATTGAGGAGGAGGGGAAGGAAGGAGGGGGGGGGGGGGAGGAGGAGAAGGAAAGGAGGAGGAAAAAAGAAAGGAGGAGGAGAAGGAAAGGAGGAGGAAAAGGAAAGGAGGAGGAGAAGGGGGAGGGAGGAGAAGGATAGGTGCGCGGAGCGCAGCTCTTAAGTCGCCGAAGGCTGCTGAGCCGAAGGCTGCTGAACGAGCTGCGCGACGCACTCCAAGGAGGGATGCGGCGACGGACGGCCGCGCGCGGTCGGCGGAAGCGACGACGGACAGCCGCACGCGACAGCGACGAAATCGGCGACGGCTGCGGCGGCGAGCACGTTCGCGATGGACGGATTCGTCGGCGGGTGCACGCGAGTGCCGCGACGAACAGGCGCGTGGTGCGAGAGCGCGACGAACGGGTGCGCGCGCGGGGGTCTCACGACGGGAGGACGCGACGACGAACCGCGCGAGGAGGAAAAGGGCGTCGAAAGACGCGAGGAGAGGTGCGCAACGGAAGGGAGAGCGGGCGCGATAGGAGGCGCGCGACGGGAGAGAGAGTGTGCGCGATGGGAGATCGCGTCGGGAGAGGGCGCACGGACGGCGCGCGAAATAGCCTAAGAAGGGCTAGGCTTCGATGACGAGGAGGGACGGCATAGGGCCGTGCTAGTTAGGATCGACTAGAGGTGGCGTGAGCCATTGTGGCTCTGATACCATGAAGGAAATAGCTTGGAAGAGAAAAGATTGATTGAGTAGGGAGCCAAAAGGCTCTTTTGTACAAAACAAGGAGCAAGGAAGAGTTGGAAGGGAAGCTCTCCTATTGGCCATAAAGTGGACCAATGGGAGAGGTTGCTTGTAGGGCAAGCAACCACAAAGTGTGGTGCTCTCTGATTGGCCACAATGTGGACCAATGAGAGAGATTGCTTGGAAGGCAAGCAACCACTAAGTGTGGTGCTTGGTGATATGGTTGGTTCCTAGGACCAAGGACCATTTGGTTGGAATAGTGCCAACCAAATGTCTAGGACCAAATCCAATCTTGACCAACCCAAATGTGGGGTTGGTCAACCCAACCAACAACCCCCCAATATTTATAATGACTACACCTCCTAATCTAGGCATGCATGTTGTATAGATATATATTTTGCAACATCTCCTCCCCCCCCCAGGCGGTGGCGATGCACGACTGTCTGTACCGCATGCGGCAGCAGGCGGACTGGGTGGCCTTCCACGACCTCGACGAGTACCTGGCCGTGCCGCCGCCAGCGTCCGTGCCGGCGCTGCTGGAGCGCTTTGCATCGCTGCCATACATCACGCTGGGCATGCACGTCTTCAGCGCACACCTGTGCGAGGAGGGGCCCGAGGACGTGTGGGGCGCGGAGGAGAAGCGCTTTGCGGTGGAGCGCATGGTGCAGCGGCGCAAGCAGCCGTACTGCCTCAGGGGCGAGGACGACCCCAAGGTGTGCGTCGACTACTACGGCCACCGCAAGATGTTCCTCAACCCGCGCAAGGTGGGTGACGCTGCAACCGCTGCATGGGCTGTCTAGGCTGCTCCTGCCTGCTGCACTCTGAATGCTGTGCTGCACACATGCTACTCGCTCTCTCTGCTGCCTGCTTGCTCTTGCTGCTGCTCATCGTGGTGGTGCCCCCTGCCCTGCCCTGCACGGCGCTGCGGCGGTGCAGGTGGAGGCGGTGTACGTGCACCGCACGGACAAGCCAGCCACGGGCGGCGTGGACCTGAGTGTGGACGAGATGTACTTCGCCCACGTGCGCTCGCTCACCGGCAAGGGCGCTGCGTGCCGCCCGCCCGTAGACAAGGAGAACGAGGCGAGCCCGGAGGAGCTGGAGCGATGCACCACCGTGGCCGACACCGCTGCGCGCGCCAGGGAGTGCGCACAGGAGGGCTTTTCCAACCAGGTGAGGGCTTCTCCAACCAGGTGGGCGGTGCTGCAAGCAGGTGAGCGGTGCTGCAAGCTGGTGAGCGGTGCTGCAAGCAGGTGGGCGGTGCTGCAAGCTGGTGAGCGGTGCTGCAAGCTGGTGAGCGGTGCTGCAAGCAGGTGGGCGGTGCTGCAAGCAGGTGGGCGGTGCTGCAAGCTGGCAAGGAGTGAAAGTGGGAGGTGCACAGGGCGATGGCGAGTGGGTGGAGACGGCCAGGGATGTTTGGATGCGTTCTTTCATGCATATCGGTGATTGAGCCAGCAATGTTGTGCATTGTTGTGGCATGTGCATCCATGTCGCGATGTCATCTCTTGCCATGCGCCTCACGTGCCTCCCTGTATTGCTGCTGTCTCTCTGCAGTTCCTCTGCAAGCCCAGAGCCACGCGCTAGCTGCCACCCCACGCGGCCGCGGCGAACTCTGCACCCATGACAGTATGACAGCTGGAGGGGGTAGAGGATGTTTCTCTGGGTTGAAGAATGCTGCCTGCCATGCACCTCTCTTGCAGCCTCCATGCCCAGTCACCCACATGGCATGGCACCACTTAACTGCTGAACCTCCTGCAATAGTGCCTGTAGCCTAAACCCTCGCACGCCCGAGGGTTTGCATCCCTGAAAACCCGCTTGACCCTTCCCCCTCTATTCCAGTGGACAACGCCCTCTACTGTTTGCCGATGGCGTTTGACGAGCATACGGAGGACGTGAATGCTTCCGCGCTTCCTCCTCTCAGACGATATTGTCACGCTGTCTACTCGACTGTGCTTAACTTATCTATTTACCAGAATGGCGTGTAACAAGTGCAAGAACAGTGTCGTCACCTGCCATTCTTGCATTGTACAGAGCGTAGAATTCTAGGTGTTGATGGCGGTAAATCGATGTCACATAACGTTCAGGTACTTGATATACCCGCTTAGGTTGCTAATGAAATGTATGTTACTTCCGCTTTCAATTGCAGGTCAGTTTGCTGGGAGGAGCATGGCAGTAACATCAGAGGCACATGCACACTTGGGTTAAGAGGCACACTCGATGTACAATGTTCTGATGTTGGTTTTTCGTGAATTTTGCGGTGACGGCGGAGAGCCAGATTGTGTGGGAAGTATGCACTAAGCAGCTAGATCAGACATGCCAAAAAGGGAAAACATGGCACTACCTATAGGGGGGGCTATCCCCAGTTACCTAGTACACGTAGCCCTTGACGTGCAGGCTCTCCGTCGCCGCACCAGACGCCGCGCCGCCGGCGTACTTGCCGAGGGTGGCTTCGGAGTTGGCGCGCGCGCGGCCGGTGAACACTTCTTGCGCGGCCTTGAGGTTCTCCTCCTTGCCCGCCCACGCCGCCAGCGTGCTCTTCTGCAGCGCGCGGCCGTACGAGAAAGAGAGCGTCCACGGCTTCTTCGTGTCGAGCTGGTTCATGGCGTTGAGGTTCACGGTGGCCTGCTCCTCGCTCTGCCCGCCCGACAGGAACATGATGCCCGGCACGGCGGCGGGCACGGTGCGCTGCAGCGCGCGCACGGTCAGCGCAGCGATGGTCTTCTCGTCCACCTTGGGCCCCTCGGTGCCGGGCGACACCATGTTGGGCTTCAGCAGCGACCCCTCCAGCAGCACCTTCTGCTCGCTCAGCGCCTTGTACGTCGCAGCCAGCACGCGCTCGGTGACCTCAGCGCACTTCTCGATGGAGTGAGAGCCGTCGGTGAGGATCTCGGGCTCCACGATGGGCACCAGCCCGTTCTCCTGGCAGATGATGGCGTACCGCGCCAGGCCCTGCGCGTTCAGCTGGATCGCCAGCTCCGACGGCTCGTTCGCGCCGATCTTCAGCACCGCGCGCCACTTGGCGAACCGCGCGCCCGCCTTATAGTACTCGGCGCAGCGCGCGCCGAGACCGTCGTGGCCCTGCGTGGTGGTCTCGCCGTTGGTGCCGGCGATGTCGACGGTGCCCTTGTCCACCTTGATGCCCGGCAGCACGTCGTTCTCGTTCATCAGGTCCACGAACGGCTTGCCGTCCGCCGTCTTCTGGTACAGCGTCTCCTCGAACAGGATCACGCCGCTGAGGTACTGCATGGCGCCGGGCGCCGTGAACAGCAGCTCGCGCAGCGCGCGCCGGTTCGACTCCACATTCTCGACGTTGATGGCGCTCAGACGCTTGCCGATGGTCCCCGTGCTCTCGTCCGCCGCCAAGATGCCCTTTCCGGGCGTCGCGATCTTCTTGGCGTTGGCGATCAGCTCCTCTGCGAAAAAGAGGAGTGTAGAATTAGTATCCAGGGTCTGGAAATACGTTTCTCGGTTAAAAAACTGTGGAGGTGAATTTTCTTTGAGTAATCAGAAATCAACGGTGCAGAAAGAGCTCTGCCTGTGTGTAGAGGCATCAACGGTACTCAAGTGAAAGAGTAGTAGATCCGTACCTGCGTACTTGCCATTGTAGGCGGCCATGGCTCTACAAATGTGTGAGATAAGGCGAGGTGAGAGCTGAGGATAGATTCCAAGAGTAATCGCAGAAGCGAGAAATTGTAAGCTCGGAATGCAAACTGCAGTGGGATGGGTGGAGGTCTGGCGAGCATTTGAAGCACAAGAATCGCACGACAGCTGCGGTTCTTCGGGGGGGAGCACGACAGCGCGGCATGCCACGTGCGTGAAGGCTTGCGATGATGTGGACGAACCGGAAGGCCTTTTCCTCCTCGGCTTCCGCGCCAGCTCAAACGATCCTCAGATCTGGGCTGCTCGGAATGGAATCCTGCCAGACGCCAATTGGCAAAGGTCGCGCTGGCACGAAAATATCGCCGCACGGCGCATGGCCCATGCCCATTCGGCCTCCCCTGTCCGCGGAGGACCCACGGCGTGCTCGGGGGAAGGCGCCCGCTTGCTTCCAGGAATGGCTGGCTCCCTGCTTCTGGGGAGCAAAACTGCCTAGCGTGGCGAACATCGCTGGCATCGGTTTTCGCAGAATGATGCATTTCCTTTGGTTGTTCCTAGTGAATATTTTCCTCACCTTTATCAGTTCAGGTCTCGTAACGGAGCTACCAATGGCGCGTTCAAGCTGAAAGCCTACCAGCCGTAACCCTAATTTCACTGTTCTCACCAAGCCAAGCAATTTCAGGTCCACGTTGCAGAGTGAAGGCAGAGTCAGCAGTGGGCCTGTGTCAACCCACTTCCTGCTTCTACCTATCCGTTCGCCCCTCTCGTACCAGGCTGTCCTGGTAGAAAGCTAGCGGGAGTTAAGCTTCTTCAGCGCGCTATTTATCGCGTACGTTCCTCCACGTTCCTTACTGTAGCCTCGCACGCCCGGTTTCCCTGTGATTACTGTGGCGGCGATGAGGGGCAGCTCGGGCTTGAAGCGCGTGGGGAAGTACGAGGTGGGGCGCACGGTGGGCGAGGGCAACTTCGCCAAGGTGAAGGTGGGGCAGCACGTGGAGAGCGGCAGGCGCGTGGCCATCAAGGTCATGGACAAGGACAAGATCCTCCGCCACCGCATGGCCGACCAGGTGACCCCCGCCGCCGCATGGCCCACCCCCCGCCGCCGCCCGCACGGCCCACCAGGTCAACCCTGCCTGGGCCCGGCCATCGCTGTCCAGCCATTCCCCGCGCGCCCGCCGTAGCCAGCCGCTCCCCACCCGCCTGGGCGCGGCCATCCCTGTGTCCAGTGCTGCGTGCCCGCATCCTCCGCTTTTTGCCGGCCCAGCGGCACTGCTTACACCCCGCGTCTCCACAACGCCTTTCACGCCCAACATGCCCTCGCCTCGCTACGCTTCTCATATAGCGGGTTCCCCTCCGCCCCCCGTGCGTTGGGCAGATAAAGCGCGAGGTGTCGATCATGAAGATGGTTCGCCATCCCAACATCGTCCAGCTCATCGAGGTGCGCCAACCGGAAGGCCTTTTGCTCCTCGCCAAAACGCGGTGATGGACGTACCATCGAACCCTAGGCTTACCATTCTTGAGTTGTTGTAATGATGAGGTTTTCAAAATTGGTGCGAGGCAGCGGTCCACTCGTCTGCTATCCGTGGCTGTCGCCCCGTGTGCCGCTGGCAGGTGCTGGCGTCGCGCAGCAAGATCTTCATGGTGCTCGAGTTCGCCGCGGGCGGGGAGCTCTTCGACAAGATCGTGAGTGCGCGCTCGCTCTCTCTTCTCGCGGTGTCCGCTCAGCATTGTCGTGTGTCCGCCTTGTGGTTCTCCTTCATCCACTTTATACCTCACCTCACTTGTACCTCCCGTCTCAATGCTCCTCCTCCCGCCATGCGTATCCATCGGTCCCTCCGCCTCCCCCCCCGTGCGCCGAGCAGGTATACCGCGGGCGGCTGCCGGAGGACGAGGCGCGGCGGTACTTCCAGCAGCTCGTGGACGCCGTCGACTGCTGCCACGCCAAGGGGGTGTGCCACCGCGACCTCAAGGTGTGCCACAGCGACCTCAACGTGTGCCACCGCGACCTCAAGGTGTGCCACAGCGACCTCAACGTGTGCCACCGCGACCTCAAGGTGTGCCACAGCGACCTCAACGTGTGCCACCGCGACCTCAAGGTGTGCCACAGCGACCTCAACGTGTGCCACCGCGACCTCAAGGTGTGCCACAGCGACCTCAACGTGTGCCACCGCGACCTCAAGGTGTGCCACAGCGACCTCAACGTGTGCCACCGCGACCTCAAGGTGTGCCACAGCGACCTCAAGGTGTGCCACCGCGACCTCAAGGTGTGCCACAGCGACCTCAACGTGTGCCACCGCGACCTCAAGGTGTGCCACAGCGACCTCAACGTGTGCCACCGCGACCTCAAGGTGTGCCACAGCGACCTCAACGTGTGCCACCGCGACCTCAAGGTGTGCCACAGCGACCTCAACGTGTGCCACCGCGACCTCAAGGTGTGCCACAGCGACCTCAACGTGTGCCACCGCGACCTCAAGGTGTGCCACAGCGACCTCAACGTGTGCCACCGCGACCTCAAGGTGTGCCACAGCGACCTCAACGTGTGCCACCGCGACCTCAAGGCGCGCCTGACTCTGTTTTCTTCCGTGGCTGGCTCTCTTTCGCTGCATTCTCTCACCTCTCCCGTGCTCCCGCTTCCCCATCCCCCTCCCCCCACCCTGTGTGCTGCGCGGCACCAGCCAGAGAACATGCTGCTGGATGAGCACGGCAATCTCAAGGTCTCCGACTTCGGGCTCAGCGCGCTGCCGCAGCAGCTCAGGGTGGGTTGCGGTAATGCCACCATGCCTCCATGCCACCATGCCACCATGCCACCGTGCCACCATGCCACCATGCCTCCATGCCACCATGCCACCATGCCACCATGCCACCATGCCACCATGCCACCATGCCACCATGCCTCCATGCCACCATGCCACCATGCCACCATGCCTCCATGCCACCATGCCACCATGCCTCCATGCCACCATGCCACCATGCCACCATGCCACCATGCCACCATGCCACCATGCCACCATGCCACCATGCCACCATGACACCATGCCACCATGCCACCATGCCACCATGCCTCCATGCCACCATGCCACCATGCCTCCCATGCCACCATGCCACCATGCCACCATGCCACCATGCCACCATGCCACCATGCCACCATGCCTCCATGCCACCATGCCACCATGCCACCATGCCACCATGCCACCATGCCACCATGCCACCATGCCACCATGCCTCCATGCCACCATGCCACCATGCCACCATGCCACCATGCCTCCATGCCACCATGCCACCATGCCTCCATGCCACCATGCCACCATGCCACCATGCCACCATGCCACCATGCCACCATGCCACCATGCCACCATGCCTCCATGCCACCATGCCACCATGCCTCCATGCCACCATGCCACCATGCCACCATGCCACCATGCCACCATGCCACCATGCCACCATGCCACCATGCCACCATGCCACCACGCCACCATGTGAGCACTGTGGTGATTCTTACTGGTCCTAGTGTGTGCTCTTTCTAAGACCTTCCATTTGCCATCCCTCCCACCTGTCGTCCTCGTGCTGCCCTCCCCACCATCCCCTGCTCTCGCCGCCCTGCCTCTCTCGCTGCGTGTGCTGCTCGCCCCGTGGCAGGAGGATGGTCTGCTGCACACCACATGCGGCACGCCCAACTACGTCGCTCCCGAGGTCAGTCAGCCCCTCACGTCGCCTGCCACCACCACACTCACTGCGTCACTGCGTCCCTCCCTGGCGCTCCCAAGCCTGCCTTGCCCGACCCACAAGCGTGGTGCCTCCGGTTTGCCTTTCCCGTCCTGCCTGGACCCTGACTGCCCCTTCCCCCCCCCAGGTGCTGCACAACAAGGGGTACGACGGGCGGCTGGCGGACGTGTGGTCGTGCGGCGTCATCCTCTTTGTGCTGCTGGCAGGCTACGTGCCCTTCGACGAGCCCGACCTCGTGCTGCTCTACGACAAGGTGTGATGAAACTTAATCTAACCACTGTTTTGACGATGTTGTCTCAATTTAACCTTGTCAGGAGCAATTGAGCGGGGGCGCAGAGGCGGAGGAGGTGGAGAGGGGAGGGAGAGGTGAGGCCCCACTCATCCTCAACCGTCTCCGCCTCTGTGCCGCCGCTCGCATCTCCTCCGCCTCTGCCTGCTCCTCCGCCAGCATCGATGCTCCTGAGTCCGCCTCTGCCTCCTGCCTTACCTCTCCCTTCCCTCTCATCCTCAACCTTCTCAGCCTCTACTCTACGACAAGGTGCAACGAGTTTGGTTGTCACCATTGCCATGCGCCACATGTGTGCAATTCCAGGAACAGCCGTTGCCAGCACAAGATGCGCGGCCCACCCTGCTGCAACAACTGTGCAATCCTGGGAACCGCTGTTGCTCTTTCTTTCTCTTCTCTGTGAGCTCCCAACTCCACCCATCACTCTTCCCGCCCTCCCCACCCCCCCCTCCTCCTCTCCCAGATATCCCGCGCGCACTTCAAGTTCCCGCCCTGGTTCTCCCTCGAGGTCAAGCGCCTCATCACTCGCATCCTCAACCCCGACCCCTCCACTGTATGCGCGCAGCGCGCCCCCTCCCTCCCATCTCGCCACTGTATGCGCGCCCCCTCCCATCCCGCCACTGTATGTGCGCCCCCCCCATCCCGCCACTGCATGCCCCACCCCGCCACTGCACGCCACCCCCTTCTCCTCCCTCTTTTTGACTTGGTTCAATGAAACCTTCCTCCGCCCCCCTCCCCTGTCGTCTCGTCAACCCATCATCCCCCCTCCCTTCGCCGTCTCCCCCCCCAGCGCCCGGGGCTGGACGCCATCCGCCAGGACGTGTGGTTCCAGAGGGGCTACCAGCGCGCCAAGCCCCTGGCGGACGCCGTGGGGGGCGAGGGGGACGCGGCGGACGTGCTGCTGGAGGCGGGGGTGAGGGGCAGGGGGGGAGGCAGGGGCTGGGGGGACGGGCAGGGGGGAAGGCAGGGGCAGGGTAGAGGGGCAAGGGGGGGGGCAGGGGGGAAGGGCAGGGGGGGGGGGCAGGGGGCGGGGGGCAGGGGGCAGGGGTAGAGGGGCAAGGGGGTGTGGCGCAGGGATGAGGGGCAAGGACAGGGGCAGTGGTGAGAGATGCAGGTTGGAATGTTGGCACAAGATGTGTTGATGAGGCGCTGCAGCAATGTGCTGCTCCATGCCACCCCCCATGCCACCCCTCATGCCACTCTCTGTCCGCGTGTGCCAAACTCTCCATCATCGCCTCCCCAACCTTCTGCTCACCTTCGTCTCACTGCCCCTCACGTCCCCCTACCCTCCCACCCTCATCTCCTGTCTCAGCTGCACCCCGTGACCGAGCTGTCAGTGCGGGTTGCCCACTCGCCCTCCCTGCAGGCCTCCCTGCCCGTCTCCCTCGACCCGCCCTCCCGCTCCTCCAGTCCGCCCGCCACGGCAGCAGCAGCAGAAGCAGCATCATCATTGGGTGGCGGGGGGGCGCAGGCAGGGATGGCAGAGGAGGGGCGGTCGGGGCCGCTGGTGGGGGGCGGGGCGGAGGAGTGTCCGGAGCTGCTGAACGCGTTTGACCTGATAGCGCGTGCGCACGCGCTGGATCTGGGGGCGCTCTTCCAGCGCCGCGCCGGCCCCATTCTGCGCCCCACCCGCTTCGCCTCGCGCCTGCCGCCCGCCCTCATCCGCTCGCGCCTCCTCGCCCTCTCACCCCTGCTCCACGCGCACGCCCACGCCACTCACTTCAAGGTGCGGCGCCGGGCAGAGGAGGGGCTCTAGGGTGAGCGGTGGTGCGGAGTGCGGGGAGTGGCGCGCCGTGCTCTTGCATGTGCCGCTCACCACAGCAGCCCAGCTTGCAGCGAGTGACAGTGCCGAGCTATGCACGTAGCGCGTTGGCCCCCCTAGTGCTGTGTGGCCGATCAACGCCGCCATCACAGCTCGTCTCATATGCTCTCCTCCTCCTGCCCTGCCCCCCGCCGTCTGCCCCAACCCCGTGGTCGCCATCTGGCACCGCTGGGGCTGCTGTGGGTGTCTCATGGCAGATTCGGCTGGAGCGGCCAGGATCAGCACAAGGCGGCCATCTAGCCGTGGTCATTCAGGTACTGTCAGCTCATGCCCGTGCCTTGGCCCTCGCTGCTCCTGTGCAACCAAAAGTGTATCCACACGGACCACACCTTCCTTTCCCTCCATGCGATGCTGCCCCCATGCGATGTTGCCCCCATGCGATGCTGCCCCCATGCGATGCTGCCCCCATGCGATGCTGCCCCCATGCGATGCTGCCCCCATGGGATGCTGCCCCCATGCGATGCTGCCCCCATGGGATGCTGCCCCCATGCGATGCTGCCCCCATGCGATGCTGCCCCCATGCGATGCTGCCCCCATGCGATGCTGCCCCCATGCGATGCTGCCCCCATGCGATGCTGCCCCCATGCGATGCTGCCCCCATGCGATGCTGCCCCCATGGGATGCTGAGCCACCACATGTTGAGGATGACGGAGTGCGTGTGTGCGGTACCGGGTGGGTGGGCGGTGGGCTGCAGATATTCGAGATGACGGCGGGCCTCTTCATGGTGGAGGCGCGCAAGGCAGCCGGCGACACCCTCGAGTACCACAAGGTGCGCCTCCACTGCCACCCTCTACTCCTGCTGGGCCCTCAGCAGAGTGAGCCTCGTGAAAGACTCTTCTCTGATATATGTCTCTCTATCTCTCCGCTGTACATGTTCTCGTGTGCTTTATATCTATATCTTTCCTATATCGCTGTCTCTCTTCGTATATCTGTATCTCTGCAATATGTGTGTCTCTGTACTACGTGTGCGCTCGCTGTGCTCTCTGTGCGCGCTGTGCTCGCTGTGCTCGCTGTGTGCGCTGTGCTCGCTGTGCCCGCTGTGCCCGCTGTGCGCTCTGTGCTCGCTGTGCTCACTGCGCTCCCTGTGCTCTCTGTGCTCCCTGTGCGCGCTGTGCTCTCTGTGCTCCCTGTGCTCCCTGTGCTCCCTGTGCTCTCTGTGCTTCTCTGTGCTCCCTGTGCTCTCTGTGCGTGCTGTGCTCTCTGTGCGCGCTGTGCGCGCGGTGCTCGCTGCCACATGTGTCTGCAGTTGTATCGCAGCCTGCTGGCGCGGGTGAAGGACATGGTGTGGCACCCGGAGGGCACTGCTGCCCTGCCAGCAGCGCCACAAGCACCACTCGCTGTCCCACGACCGCTTGCAACTGCACAATCAACACCCGCACTGCCACAAGCACCTGCACCAGACGAAGCAGCAGCAGCAGGTGTGGTCAATGGAGTGGCAGTGGGTGGCAGTGTGAAGGTAGAGCACAAGGGGGGAGCAGCAGGTTTGTTGGAGGAGAAGCGCAGAGGTGCACCGACCATGCATCCTGTGAATGGAGATGTGGCGGCGCATAGCACACGCGGCCTCTCAGGCTGACACGGTATAGTGTGGAGCAGGCCCCTGGATATCAGACTTTTTACGCTGATTCAGCCTTTTTTCAGGGATTTCCGTGGTAGCAAGGCTTTTTTATTGGGCTTTTTTTGTTGGTCAATGCTGAAAAATCATCTTTTTTTTAAAAGCCAATATCTGTAATTTCAGTGTTTTGAGTATGGTTCACTCTGTAACATCAGCGCGTGTTTTCTGGGTAAGTCTGAAACCGCATACAACGTGATTCTAGGGTCCCCCCAAAATCACGCTGTCTGATTGCATTTCCCCTGTCAATCACGCATGTTTTGGGATGTGCTGGCACGGCGGCCCAGCGGCAGACTCGCATATTCCCCTGTTGTCGCCAACACACCGTGAACGGACGGCGTAGTGTAATTGGTACTTGACCAAAATGAGCATGCCACACCCAATCTCGTACATACCGCGCACTGGAGATGCTGCACAGCTGGAGCGCCTCGACAGATGATGGAGATGGAGTACTACACCCCCCCCTCCCCTTGCCATGCATCGTTGGCAGGGTTGGTGCACCGCGTTCTTCATGGGCATGCCCTTCAAGAACGTGCGCTCTGCTCCAACCCTTTGTTCCACAACAGGCATTGTGTTGCTTCCAGGCCGATGCCACGTTCTTTCTCCTCCTAGCTTAGTTAGGTCCTCATCGGCTGTTACTGCAGCTTTTTCCACGCGCTTTTCCCCTCGCCACCATGGCTGATTCTGGCGGTGCTGACAACGGAGTAGGCGACGATGACGACTTGCCTAGAGAAGCTCGCACCGGCCTAGATATGTTGCTGTCGTCGTTGGCGAGTATCCCTGTCCTAGCTCGAGCCCCTGCTGGACCAGCGGAACCATCGTCGAGTAGGCATGCTCCAGCAACCATGCCTCCCCCGGTTGTCCAGTGTACGCGTCCTGCCATCGCATCCTCGTCTCCTGTGCGCCTAGCTTCTGTTATCGACTCGGCGCCCCCACCCGTTCACCCTTCAGTCGTTCCTGCGAAGTCGGGCAACCGCTACCGGCAGATTCGACTGTCGTTTGCCCCTCCCCCAAAGGAACCGGACCCTGAGGCATCGGACTCGGATTCGGACGATGACGCACCAGATGACTCCAACGAGCTGCAGTCAGGGAAGAAGCGTCTCACTCCTGAAGAGCTGTATGCTGACGCTCTTGACAAGTTTCTGCGATGGTGGTCCAGCACGTATCCATGGCTTTGCTGAGGATAACTGATTGCGGGTTGCCCGCGTTTAACTGCTCTGTCTGTACTGAACACGCATGGTTGAAGGGGAAGACCGGCAGGAAGGGCGCTGGCGCGACAGACGTCGAGGTCCAGGCCTTCAAGAAGCACACTTGTACGACCAGGCATCAGCTCACGTACAGCAAGCAACTCGACCTGCTGCAAGATGCGACCACCCAGCCACGGATTGACCAGCATCCAGTCGCCCAAGACCTCGAGAGGCTCCATGTCACTTCGATGCTCGACGTGCTCTACTTCAGCAGCCGGTGCAATGAGCCAATGGAGACCTGGATCCGACTCGTTCGCTACTTGTTGGAACGCAAGTTCAAGGGTTTCCCTGAGCAGGGATACGGCACTTACTACAACTCGTAAGCCTTTCTTTTCGTTGGTTTCTGTGTACTGTTCTATACGGGATCTGGTTGCTAACACGTTTGGTTACTAGTGTGGTTGCAGGTACGGGTTCGGGCAGCTCACACAGGCGCTGGCTACCTAGCTACAAACAACCCAGCTGGAGCATCTTCTAGCGAGCCCTTCCATCAGGATCAGCCTCGATGAGAGCACTGACCGCCGACGTGGCAAACACATGATCGTGTTTGTCACGTTCATTCGCGAGAAGTGACTAGTTACTGAGCTTCTCGCCCATCTGACTGTCGAGCGAGCTGATGCTGCGTCGCTTGTCGCTTTACTCTTGTCCCACCTCCAGGCTATTGGAGTAGACCAGCGGAAGAGTGCCGACATTAGCACCAACGGGGCTGTTGTCATGCTCGGCTCTCGAGGAGGGCTTGTCGCTCGACTGAGGGTGCGCATACCACACATCGTCTACTGTTACTGCATCGCTCACAAGTGACGAGCGCATGACACTCTGACCCCAGATTACACCGTTTCTTTACTTGCTGACACTCTTTTGTGGACACACGCAAGGAGGCCTTGGCGGCAAAGGCAGCGGCAGAGTCTAACCCTGCCTTCAGCATGGTGAATGACTTCATCAAGGGCATCGCGGAGTGTCTTGGCCGGTCTGGTCCCTGGCACCAGCGCTTCATGAACCTGCAAGACGATTTTTCCTCAACGAACCTGGAGCTGCAGGGGATACAAGGCATTAGGTGGCTCTCCCGTGGTGAGGCTTTCTTGAGGCTGCTTGTTGTTCTTTAGCAACGCTTGCGTGGACGATTGCACGGAGATGGCGGAGGAGACTGTGCACCACATGGAGTCGAGGTTTGGAGTCATGGAGCAGCTGTCTGGCTGCCGGCTGTTCTCTGCTGACACCTGGCCGCCGAACTGGGAGCGCAGCATAAGGAATATACTGTGTCTGGAGTGGTACCGGCAGCTGATCAAACTCTTCCGCGCTGAGGAGAACCCCGAGATCCTTCCAGGTGTTGGAAATCCGGCAAGACCGCGAATCGTAAACGCATGTGTCCCCTCCCTTGAGCCTCTTGTCCGTCCTTGGTTAACCGTGTTCCCTTCCCCATGTGTGTGGTTCGATGTGTTGCCGGCGTCGACAAAATAGGGGCGGAGAAGGAACTACGGCACTTCGTCCCTATACTAGCCCGTCTCAGCTTTGCGGACGAGATGTTCTTCACGGCTCTTACGACAGTGCTCAAGATCGCTGACTGGCAAATCCATTACCCCAGCCTGGTGGGGTTGTGGGCGGATGTGGCGGTTCTGCCACTCAGTACCGTAGAATGTGAGCGGGGTTTCTCCCAACATAATCTCATCAAGAGCTGGCAGCGGGGTAGTCTTAAGGATACTAGGTTATCTGATTTAATGTGCATGTCGATGCTAGACTATGCGCCAGACTAGGAAGTGGTGGAGATCTGGTGGGCCTACAAGAAAAGGCGACCATTCTCCACCTCCCGGGCCACTGTGCAGAGCAGAAAGGGGAAGGAACCGATGGAAGAGAATGCTTCTGAGCTCCCCCTAGTTATGGAAGATGCAGAAGAGGATGATGATGCTGGCCCTAGTTGTGCAGAGGAGTTGTAACTTGCTTTCCAAGTGCAACTCTTGAGTATCGGCTATATTAGAATTGAATGACGAGTAGAAGGCATGAGTACAAGGGTATATGACCTAGGGGATGTACCCTCTAAGGCACAAACCTATACAGTCTATACAAACATAACAATATATGTTTGACAGGCTGCAACCTTTTTTCCCATGCGAAGTCTGAACACCTAGGAAAGAAAAACCACGCTGAATTTCCAGCCTTTATGCTAGGTTGGAAGCTGGACGATCAGCCTAAAACAGGAGGGCAAGGATGACTGATCAGTGTACGCTCAAACCAATCTATAGGCCTTGTGTGGAGGTTGTGTTATAGCGGTGTTGAAGGTCAAATTTCAAGAGTTGTCATAAGGGGACATGGAAATGGGGAAAATGAGGAATAGCGGAAGCACATGTGGAATGTTGAAAAAAATGGGAAAACAAGCTTGTTTACGAGAGCGTAGTAACGGTCTATTGCTGCCATGAGCTGGGTGGGATTTATTTAGCTTCATATACACAAAAATCTAGTGCGGTTTGGTTGGTGATTTCAGTAACACCAATTCCTGTATATGTTTGAAGCTGCTGGCTCAAGCATTTCTCAAGCATTTGTAGGTATGGGTAATAATAAAAATATAGGCATTATCTCTAGTCATGAAGAAGTGTAACTTTTTGTTTACTTCTACACCTGCGCGCTGCACAGTAACGACTCACAATCGAGCATCAACCAGACCCACGTGAAGTCGTTGAGCCTAGTTTCCAGAAACGAACTTAGGCTGTTGGCACACTAAGGTTGCATCCACCTGGTTCAGTCACCCCCGGCTTCCCGAATCCCTGTGAGATTTAACGAGTGTAGTCAGAATGGCCTTATGTAATGCAGGTTTCGGGAATCAGCTACACTTACTGAAGCTGTGGTCCATCAATGTAATTTCTGAGAATCCATTAGCCAGCAAGTATTGCCAAATTCCTGGTGGAAGGAACCCAATTTTAAAGAAATTCTCCATTCCCTTCAACTGAGTTGATGGAAGCCGAACACTTTTCTCTTTAGCACGCTTCCAGAACCCACTTGAAATCCAGCTGTAAGCCCTCCCTACACGACAGAGGCCAGTCTGTCTGGTCGGCGAGCTCAATTATGAGGGCTCACTTGATCGCTCCGATTATTGAAAAAGTATCGCTTCCCCCAATTGTGAAACCGACCGTGTCAACCAGGCTGACTCGGCCCAGCCCTGGCTCTCACACCCATCCTCACATGAGACCGACTGACCAATGCAGTTTGAGGGTGAGATGCTGGTGGGGGGGTCTTCAATTCCATTGGAGCGCCCATCCATCCATGCACGGAGGCACGTGACATGCGCAAATTCTCGAACCGCATGCCGTGTGGTGTAGAATGAGCACCTTTTCTCGTCTGGCCTGTCCCTCATCGAACACCAAACAGAGACCCTCGTGCAGGAGCTATTTTACGTTCGTTAAGCTTTTTTGTTTGTTGGATCACCACTGTGCTCGCTTAGGGTCAACAGCGTTTTACGCTTTCTGCCATCACCGCTGCATTCTTCCTTCCTCCAGACGTTACGCCCCGGCTTTCCAGCTTCCAGGTGCTGCATTTCTCGCCCTTTATTTCCCTCATCCGGGCCCACGAGGAAATCCAATCCAAATGAGACTCCACTGACTCCGTCACGCAGCGAACGCCTTGCCCTCGGAATTCAGTTCACCAGGCTAGTACTCGGTCCAGCAGGTAGAGCCAACAGCCATGATCATGTGCCCTCGGAGCTCCTCATTCGACGGGGCCGTCTCCGTCGCTCGCTGTCCATCCGTCCCGCGCGCGCCCATTTCGCCGTCGGGAATCGAGTCGCCGTCGCGGATGGTTCAGAGCCGGTTGGACGACGTGGGGGTTCGTGCGCTGGAGAGCAAGCTGCAGCTGCTGCACGCGCAGCGCGAGCTCAGCGCCCTCCGCTGCCAGGCCTTCATCGACCACCTCGAGTCCGCCTTCCCCGCCCCGCCCCCCGCCCACGACGACCGCCTCGGCCGCCGCCCTCCCTCCTTGCGGGCGCGCCGCGCGTCGTTCGATCTGTCGGGGGCGGAGGGGGCGCAGTTGGCGCAGGAGCTGCGCTTCTACGAGGAGCCCGCGAGGGTCGCTCGCTCGCACTCGCACAGCGCCACTGCCAGCCCAGCCGCCCCGGCATCCCGTCCGCGATTCCCGCGCTCCAAGTCGCATCGCGGGCCCAGCGGCTCCTCCCCCAGCTCCGGCGCTTTTCCCCGCCACCACTCCAGCCCCGCTGGCGGCGGCCGTTCCCCCGTGTCGCCCTTCCCACCGTCCAGGGCAAATCCTTCTCACCGGGACGGTCTGAGCTGCAGCATCGGCGGGCGGGCGAGCAACGCAGGCGCGCGCGAGTCGTTCATGGCGTCGCGGCGGAGCCTCAAGGACCGCCCGTCCAGCCTCGGCCACGGCAGTGACGCGAGCGAGGCGGAGGGGGCGGCGCAAGGGGCGACGAGATGAGAGTCGCTAGTGCCGTACCGCACACATGCACGCCATGGGAAGAGACGGCCGTGGAGTGATTGAGCAGGAAGCAGCCTACCATGTGCCAAACGAAATGTTTCCCATGTGACGTGGCCGCACGCCCGTAGGGTTCGGGAGCAGAGCGGCTGGGAGGTGATGTTTGGGGCCGCGGGAGCCGCCGTTGCGCCACCTCGCTGGGTCCAGTAGCCGCATGCTGCTGCGGCGCGTGCTTGGTGACGATGAACGGGAAAAGTGGGCTCCCGTGAGCATCCACATCCAGGAATTTGGCCTAAATAACGCCCTTTGCCATGGCCCAGGATGGCGAGTGCCATGACATGAGAGAATCAGCCTCCGCTGCATATGGAAGGGCCTCCTACTGCCAATTGTTGAGAAGCCGCCAAGACCCACGCCAGGAAGTACGTGGCTAGGACACGAAGCCACATATTGTGAACACCCACCATTGAGGCAGGCCACACTGAATCTGCTACGATGTATAGAGGAGCTACGCATTTTTCTGTACCATAGCAATCAAAAGAAGTGATCCATCACTCGTGATGCGCTTGTGGCAATTCCATCAACGATGCTTTGGGTGAACAGATGCAAGATGATATTTCATTGTGGCTGGTGATAATGCATTTGCATTGATCCGCAAAACATGATTAAGTCGGAAAATATGGTAACATAATCTTGGCATCAACGGCACTCCCACAGAGAGAGTGCCGCAACAAAAACGTGGGCCGCTTAGCCTGGGAAAATCCATCCAGACGAGGCAAGAGGTGCCCATGCCGCATGGCATGGCAAAAGAATGAGGCCGGCTTGGCATGCCTGTCAGATTCCGCATTCTCACCGCGTTACGCGCACGGAGCGCGCAAGCGGGTAAAACCAATCCCTCCAGAGGGCAAAACTGAGGCCAAGGCCGTGCCACAGCAGGACAGTGTAGCGGGGAGCTGGTGTTAGACGAAGCCCGCACTGGCGGCGCGTTGGGGTCCACGTTGGCGTGGCGGAAAAGGGTCGACGTTGGGGCCGCGAGGAAAACTCCACGCTGGTGCGGCGGAAAACTGACATGTCAATCGGCGAGCGCAGCTTGCGCCCGTTGAATCCGCGTGCGCGCGGCCCAGTGGAAGACGGACTCGTCGGCGCGCGGCACGCCCACGCACGGGGCGACGTGACGAGTCGACGACGCCGAGGGGGCTCTGGCGTCAGAGAGCGCCATGCGCGCGCGGGCCACGGAAGGAGCAGCGGGCGCCGAGCACAACTCGCATGCCCGGGTCGAAACGGCAGCAGGCTCCGAAGTGGCCCCGGCAACTGCGCTTCGAGTGGCCCACTGCGGGCACGAGAGCGTCCGGCGGCACGACGGCGACGACGAGGCGGCCTGCTCGGCGGCGAGCTCGAGCGCGACGGACGGCGTGGCGCACGACTGCGTGCGCACGAGAGCGGGCCGGCGAGGACTGCTGCCGTGGCAGGCTGCGTCCCAATAGTAGAGACGGCGCTGGAGGCGGGAGGGAGAGGAAATGGCGGCGATGGGGTTGAGCGACGACGAGGCCGGGTGGATGGTGCAGTCGCACAGCGTGGACACGAGCGAGAGGTCCGCGGTGGGTGCTGCCGGGTGGAGAAGAACGTTGGAGGGAAGCACGGGCAAGGAGCTGGTCTTGAGCAGCGAGGAAGGAGAGAGAGATCCGCCCATACCAGCAGGCTCACACGAGGATTTGTGAAGCTGGGCCATCTAGCAATCACGTCTAAGAGAGTAGGGTAACTAATTGAACCGCTGGTGGAGTGTAATGTGGTTGTGGGGTCATGTTGTGCCGTTGGTTTGGGGGAGCCAAACGCCAGCCTCCTTTATCTACCCCCCTGAAGGGCACAAGAATGTTGTCAAGGGAGGCCGGCGGGCCCGCCTCTGGCCTGGGCTGAGGGGGGGCGCTGGACGAACAGCAATGCAGGCCATTCTTCCTCGTCAGCTGCCATGTGCGCGGACCACAGGCACTGTTCCTCGCATCATGCGGATGAGGAGTGCAACAGTGCGCCCACATGCACACAGCGACGACGGAAACACTCCGTCCTCGTGGCAGCATTTGAACCCTCCTTTTCGCCGGGGACGAACAGCAAGCAAATGCTCGGTGTGCCTTCGATGTTTGACCCTTCTCGGGCTGACCGAAGGCACACGGAGCATCTGCTCGTGAACTGTAAGCAGCTGCGCGAGCCCGAACTTCTGCTAGGCGCCAGCATGAAACAAACAGCTTCATTTCGGACTGCCCATCTGGGCTGTAGTCCGAACTTCGGGGGGCTCTTTTCCTGATTGGCAGATACTCGATCTCCACGGTAGGACACGAGCTGTGAATCTGCCAGTTGGGATCATTCACGTTTGGTGAACAGTAGGCCTTTCACCTGCCCACCCAACGCTGCTTTTGTATGAGTAGATGCCCTCGAGATATTCCACAGTAAGGGTAGGACCGAGAGCTGTGGATACTGACACTCCCAGTATGTGTTCCGTCACCCAGAGCCTAGTAAGTCTGAATTTTCACCTCAGTGAAAGACCGGTGCTAGGGCTGTCCAAAGTGGAACGTGAACGACATCGGTCGACATCCATCTAGACTTTAGATCCATGTCGTTTCTGCGCTATTGTACATGTACCTGCTCCAAGAACGTTAACAAAACGTTATCAGCTCCGGCGTCGACATCCCGGATGTCAACGGATATCGTAGGGCACTTTGAGCACGCTCTAACGGTACCATCAGTCTCACTCGGAAAAGGGCCGAGTTTTGGGAAGCCAGTCTGCAGCATTGTTCGATCGTTCAACTGCAACAATGCCCTCAGCTCATATGACAAGCACGGAGGGGCAGCAATTCTTGCGCTCGACAACAATCGCATGAGTACAAAACCGACGACGGGGAAGTGAATGTTGGGGTGGAGTTCACTGTGGACGGTCCACAACCGTTCTCCCCTTCAGAACTGTACCATCCTGGATGTACACTTTGTTCAGCTGCCAGAACTTTCGAGAAATTGAAACTGTTACACAACAACCCTTTTATAGTTGCACCAAACATGGATTGTTTCTTGAAGAACATGTAGTGCTCTTGCTGCTATTGTTTCTTAGGTGCCGGTATGTCCCGCATGTTGATGCAAGTATCTACCCTACATCAGGCCTTTCCACAAATGCAGCTCTACATTTTATGGTGCAGCTACCGCACAAGGCAAACTAGTAAGAGGCAAGCTTGACCAGGTGGTGCAGAATCTGTCTGAACACTGAGCCTAGGGGTTCCGTACCCATCACACTGAATCCTCCTAAATTGGCTGCAATACACGCCATTTGCAGAAGGCTTGACTGTCAGGGTGTGACGTGGTCAGGGAATTTCCTCGCAGGCAGATGTTCAAGAGCTAGCAACAGGAGATCACATCGCAGGCAACAGTCTAGCCTGCCCTATGATTTGAACCCCGAGTGCCGCACATGTGCGGCCTCGCATGCAGCCTATGAGACCAGAGGTAGCACCGCATGTGCAGCAGCTGCAGCACTGGATGGATGCATGGCTGGCACTTCACCACAAGCAATCGATACACCCACCCATGCACCCATATGGGCTTATTGATATGGTGGTGCTCCTGTTAGCGGGTCAATGCTCCTCTTGCATGGCTGACAGCACCCCAGATGCCGCCACCAGTGGCATGGCTGTGAGCAGCAACCTGCTCTGCCTCCACGCGTGCCATGGTGCCACCCACCCACTCATCCATCAGTATGCTCTCACACCTTTGCCCTCACACTGCAACGTTTGCGTGTCCTTGACAATCACCTCTATCATCCCCCGTTACCCGCCACCCTCGCCTCCCCCCCCCCACCCTCTACCCCCTTCCCCACCACCTTGGTGCCCCCCACTGCCCCTCTTGCCTGGCAGCCCCGCAGGTCCCTGTTTGAAGCGCGTGAGGCCATCACCTGTCCCTGCCCGCACGGCCCCTCTGCGCCTGGCTCGTGAGCAGGTCCAGCAGCGCCCTGGCCTTGCCCTTGGAGCGCGTGGACCCCGTGTGCGCCACCTGCTGCAGCGCGGGCACCATGCTCTCCGCCAGCATGGCGTGGCAGCTGGTGGGGTCGCTGTTGGCTAGCATCAGCAGCGTCATCACCGCGTCCTCCTTGGCGCGCTGCGATCCCCCTCCCACCACGCGCACCAGCGTGGGGATGGCGCCAGGCATGTCCAGCACGTCTTGGCAGCCCTCGGGCATGCGGCACAGGTTCGCCAGCACCGCCATCGCCTTCTCCTCCAGCCCGCCCTCCGCGCTGCCCAGCATGCCCACCAGCACGCCCACCGCGCCCGCCTGCACGATCTCGGCGCGGCTGCGCTGGTCGCGCGACAGGTTGAACAGCACCAGCGCCGCGTCCTTGCGCCCGCGCGTGCTGCCCGCCCGCAGCACGTCCACGAGGGGCAGCACGGCGCCCGCGCGCCGCACAAGGCACTGGTTGCCGTCATCCACTGACAGCGCAAACAGCGCCGCCGCCGCATTCTCTCTGGCGACCTGCGAGCCCGACTGCAGCACGGCGGCCACGGCGTCGATGCCGCCCACGGACGCGATGATGGCGGGTGCGCCCGGCACGAGCGAGAGGTTGAGGATGGCGGTGACGGCGTGCTCCTTCACCGTGGGGTGCGGGTGCCGCAGCACGCGCACCAGCGCCGGCACGCCCCCAGCCGCAATCAGCCGCGCCTTGTTCTCACGGCTGCCCTTCACCAGCGCCCGGATGGCCGCCACCGCCTCCAGGCGGTCGGGGTCAGCGCCGTGCGCCACCGCACGCACCAAAGGCACCATGTCGGGGGGGGAGGCTGCCGCTGCTGCCGCAAGTGCAGAGAGAGGATGGGCGGGGCCGTCCACGTCCCTGTCGAGGTCCCCTGCACCGGCAGCCATGGCGGTCGCGTGGTGGTTGGAGGAGAGGGACGACGTGCGCTCAAGAGACAGTCGACCCGAGTCTCCACCTTCTCTACCCCCCGCTGCTCCTCCTGCTCCCCCCTGTCTCAACCCCGGGCCTGGTCCTGCTCTTCCCCCACCTCCCCTTCCCAACTCTCCCCTCCCCCCCTCACCCATTCCTCTGCCCGGCCCTCTGCCCCCTGCCCCTCCCCCTTGACCCCTGCCCTCCCCTTGCAGGGGAAACACCGCCCGCACCTTGGCCCATCCCCTCCCCCGCCCACCCCCCACTCCCCCTTCTGCAACCCCCTCCCCTCCTCGCCCCCCTCCTCTGCCTGCTCCTCCTCCCAGCCCCCGTCCACCTCCTCCCCTCCCCCCTTCTCTTCCCCCCTCGTGCATGCTACTCCCCGGACTCCCATTCCTCCCCTCGCCCAAGTCCCTTGCCGCCACCGCCACCCCTCTCCCCTGCTGCCCCTGCTGCCCGCGCCCCCCTCGCCCAACCGCCCCAGACCGCCCCCCTCCGCCCCTCCCATCCAACTCTGCTCCCCCCTCCCGTGTCCACTGCCTCAGTTCCGCCCCCCCCTGCCCCCTCTGCTCTGAGGACGACCGCCTGAACTCCTCCCCCTTCCCCCCGTCCCCCCCTCCGCCCTCCCCCAGCCCCACTGCGCGCCTGGCCTCCCCCCACAGGCTCCTCTTCTCGGGCGCGGGCACAGTGGCGCTCTTGCCATACACGCCAGACGCCGAGGGGGGCGTGGCAGGCCGCGACCCTCCCCCCCAGCCAGGCAAGGCGGGGTGGGCAGAGCGCGGGCTCAAGGGGGGGGCGTGGGGGTCCAGGGGAGGGGGGGCGGGCTTGGGGCTCTTGAGGGGGCTTCTGAGGGCCTCTCGCAGCCATGCAAAGGTGCCGCCCACCCTGCCCACGCGCTGCTGCTGCGCCTCATGCTGCCCGTGGTGCTGTGGGTGGTGCTGATGCGCATGCTGGTGTGGGTGCGCGTGCTGCTGCTCGTGCTCGTCCTCCTGCTGCTCCAGCGCATGCCGCTCAAGGCTGTGCTGCGTCGGGTGCACGTGGTGCTCGCTGCTGTCGCTCCCCCCAAAGAAGCTCCCACAAGTGGGGTCCCCCTCGTCCGCCTCGCTGCCCTCGGGGCCATCCAGCTCGTCCAGCAGCGCCGTGGCGTCGGGCGGCAGGGAGAAGTCGGAGCGCCGCGAGGACGGCCCTCCACCGCTGCCGCCACTCATCCGCCTGGAGTCCACACGCCCCTCCCCCACGTCCCACTGGCCAGCGCCTGCCATGCTGCCGCCCATGCTCATGCTGCTGCTGCTCCTGCTCTGCACCGCCACCGACCCCCCTCTCCGATGCGATAAGGACAGTTCTGCTGCTACTGCCAGGTCGCCTCTGCTCATGGGGGCTGCTCTCCCCCCCAGTGCCCCCGTGTCGGCCTTCATCTCTCTCAACACCTCGTGAAACCCCTCCATCTCCCCATTGCCATCCATCCCCCCCATGCCCTGCTGCCGCCCGCTGCCGCCCACCACAGCCAATGAGGACGCGCGTCGCAGCCCCTGCCGTCCATCTGACCCCCCTGGCAGGGTCATGCCTGCCACTACAGGCGCCCCCCCCCGGTCCACCAGCGTGCCCTGCAGCGCCCTCTCTGCCGCCCGGCCCAGCCCGCGATGGTCCGTCTGCGACGAACCCCGGTGCAGATGCCGCCTCCCTGGGTGCCCACCTGCCACGTTGCGACCCGAGCTCGTGCCTGCCGCTGCTGCTGCCGCTGCCCCCCCTGCGTCCCTGTGGCCCAAACGTGACCCGGCAGGCCCCGCCCCCGCCGCCCTCCTGTGCCGCACCGACGACTCGTCACTCTCCCAGTCACTCCCCGTGCGCCCCTCCCCCTCTGACTGAGCTAAGCTCGACGACCCCCTGTGGTGGTTCCTCTCCCTCCCCCCTCCCATCTTCCCCCCTAGCCCCCCATCCTCTCCCCCTCGCATTCCCCCCTCAGTCCGCCCCATGCGCTGCTGCTGCTGGTCGCGCCTGGCGCTGGAGAGGGCGGAGAGGAAGGGGTCGTCAGCGTCACTGGCGCTGTCATTCGCGTAGCCGTGCGCCCCCCCGCCCTGCTGCCCCACGGACTGCACGGATTGGATGGACCCCGACCGCAGCAGCGCGCCCTCCTCCACCACGCGCCGCCCCAGGCTGCGCTGCAGCATGGGCGGACTCCTGCCTCCCCCCCCCCCCCCCTTCATGCCTGCTCCTTGCTGCCCCTGCCCCTGCTCCTGTCCCCGCCCCCTCCCCCCCGCGTCCTCGCGCCCCTCACTGCCGCTGCCCGCATCCCCCCCTCCCTCCACGCTGCCATCCCGCCGCCACCGCTGAGACCCCCCCTGCCCCCCCAGGCTCCTGTTCCCCCCCCGCATGGGGCTACGCGGACCCGAGGAGAGGCGCGGGGAGAGGGGGGCGGACGAGAGGCGGGGGGAGGGGGGGTCAGATGCGCGCATGGGGGAGAGGGGGCCGGACGAATGGATGGGGGAGAGGGGCGCGGAGGAGACGGGGGCAGAGGCGAGGGGGCCGGAGGCGGGGAGGTGGGAGGCGAGCGCCCAGGTGTCCATGGAGAGGTCGCGGCGCAGGGCCAGGGGCGGGGGGGGTTGGCGGGCAGAGGGCGCGGGGGCAGTGTGCCTGGTGGTGGGGCTGTCGGCCAGAGGAGGGCCGTTGGCGTGGACGGCCAACTCCCTGCTGCCGCTGCGAGGCACCGCCAACTCCCTGCTGCCTGGCACCGCCAACTCCCTGCTGCCCGGCACCGCTGCACCGCCGGGGCTGCGCGGGGCACCTGCAGCGCCCCACTCCCCCGAGGGCACCATGGAGGCGCTGCTGCTGGCGGCGGTGCCGTGCAGGGGGAACTCGCGGCTGGACTGCAGCGACGACGACGACGACCGCCCCACGGGGCTGCGAGGCGTGGCGGTGGCGCGCAGAGCCGCCTCTATGGCGGCCTCCCGGCTGCCCATGGCGCCGTCGCGAGTCACGCGCATGGAGGACGATCCCATGGGGCTGCGCAGACTGCCACTGCCCGTCACCCGAGGCCCCCCTCCTCCCGCTGCCCCCCCCCTGCCATGGCAGCGCCCGGCACGTCGATGGACAGCTCTCGCCCCATGCGGAACGACGCCGACCGCATGCCCACACCGCCGCTGCTGCGCAACGCCTTCGCCCGCCCGTTCGCTGCTGCACCCCCTGCCCCTGCACCCCCTCCCCCTGGCCCCCCACCACCCCCCCGGCAGCAGGGCCCCCTGCACACCCCACGCCCCCCCCCGGGTGGCTGCCAGCGCTGGAGCTGCGGACGGCGCCGAAGAGCGCGGCCTTGAGGTCGCTGTCGCTGCCGTCGCTGCTCGCCCGGTCCCTGAACGACTGGCTCGCGCGCCCCGCTGCCAGCAGCCGCGCACCGGGGGGGATGCCGCCCCCCGGCCTGCCAGTGGCGCCCCTCCGCGTCTCCCGCTCCGACGACGACTCCCCCCCACTCTCCCCCGCGAACCGCGACTGCCCCCCCTCCCCACGGCCCCCTGCGCCCGCTCCGCCAGCGCCTCTGCGCGCAACGAGGTCGTCGACGGCGCCCCTGAAGGAGTCCCGCGCGGCGTCGAGGCCCAGGCTGCCCAGGCTGGCGGACAGCACCCCCTGCGACTGCAGCGACGACGTGCGCAGCAAACCGCTCTCGCCGCTCCCCCTTGCGCCCCCTGACCCGCCGCCACCCCCCTGCGCGGGTTTTCTACTGGGCGGAATGCCGTTGCGCCCGTTGAGCGGCCTGAGCGACCCCTCTACCTGCAGGCCCGCGTGCCCCTGCTGCTTCGCGCGCATCACTCCGCGCTCTAAGCTGTCCGACCGCCCTACACCATCCGCCATCGCCCCTCTCCCTCCCCGCCCTCCCCTGCCCATTCCAATCCCCCCTCTCCCCGCGCTGGGCCCCCGCGCAGTTCCCCTTCCGCCGAGGCTGGCGACGCGGGGCACGGGGAGCGGCTCGTTGGCGCGCCAAAGCGCGTCGGACTGGGCGGACTCGTAGCCGTCCGAGTCGTCGTCCTCTAACGCGTTAAGAAGCGACTCGATATCGTCCGCCTTGGGCTGCAACGAGTGCGAGCGCGCGAGGCCCGACGACGTGCCATCCCCCGCGCCGTCCTGCCGCAGCACCCGCAGCACCTGCGACTGGCTCCCCCTATGCCTCGGCCCCGGCGCCTGCCGCCTTTGGGGAGGTCCTGCGCCATTGGGGGGCGCTCCTGCTTGTCTCCGCGCGCCTGCTGCCCCCAGCTCGTCCCCCGACAGGGGGCTGGAACCTATCCGTTCCGCCGAGGAAATGCGGGCGCGGGGGCTGTCGGCGGAAGAAACGCGCGGCACCCCCCCGCCCAACACCACTCGCAGGACCGCTCCCCCCCCTGAGGCTGTGCGCGGAACCATTGCGCCAGCAGGGGATCCCCGCGGCCCCTGTGCGCCACTCCCCGACGGTACCCTCTGCACGGGCCCGCCGCTGGAGACCGATCTTGAAACAGAAAGGGAAGCGGAAGAGAAGTTGCGGGGAACATTTTCCCCGCCGGGGGGAGTGAACGGCCGCTCCTCCGCCCCCGATGGCGGAGTCCGCGGCCGCTGAAAGGCGCCGGGGAGCGTGCGCGTCTGCGCAGAAAAAGGGGCTGCAGAGCGCGGGCTTTTGGGCGGAGTGCCGGGGGGAGTGATGGGGCGCTGCGAATGCGAGATAAACGGGCCGGGGGGAGGGAGGCCGGCAGACGCGGAGTGCGCGCCCGGGGAGCTGTGATTGCTGTCGCGCCCGCTGCGCGGAGAGAGCAGCTCCGCCTCTTGCGCGCGGTACTGGCGAATGGGCTGCTGCTGCTGCTGCGATCGGGATTGCTGCTGCTGATACACGCCGTTCGCGAGGGGTTGCCGGCCAGAGCCGCCGTCACCGGGCCCTACGGACTGACCCCTAAAGCTACCCGTCGCTGACCCGCCCTGCTGCGCCTGCGGGTCGACGCGCACGCACAGCACGCCCGGCGCGTACGGCACGGCGTTGGCGTCGCACCACTGCGCGATCAGCTGCCGCACCGCCTGGTTCGGAAACAGGCGGTAGTGGTCGAGGCGCGATCCGGTGACGGGGCATATCCGGTTGCCGTCGCGGTACCACTTCTGGATGACGGCGCGCTCGAAGGTGAGCCCCGACGCCGTGATGACCGGGTCCGTGAGCAGCTGCAGCGACAGCGGACACACGAACTCCGACGGCACCGCCGGCTGCTTCCCGTACCGCGTCGGCTGCCGCAGGCGGTACTGCGTGTTCGGCATAGCTACTGGCGGTCCCCGGTTCGACGCAGAAGCTATCGACTTCTTGAAAAGGCGGCATGATCAAGCAGCGACATGCGAGCAGGGATCGCCCGTTATGCGAAGCCTGGAGTTGTAGTGGCCTAGGAGAGTAACGCAGAAAGCGCAAACTAATGTAGTGCCGACTCAATAAATACAGGAGCTGACTCAACCGAGACAGGCGTGCCCTAATGGTCTCCTGTCTGAACCCTGTCAGTTACTAAGGCGGAAGAATATGAACTAGACGTATTTTAGGTTAGGTATAGGTCAACTGCCTTGGTGTTTGCGGGGCAGGGAGCTCTCGAGGAAAGGAGGCAGCTTTCGGGTGCAGGTTGGGAGGCGGAAGCTGCTTTCGCGAGAACAGTGGGCGACGGGAAGCAAGAACTCGCTAGGCGAAAATGTCGTCGCAAAGCAGGGCCAAGTAGGCGTTGCGCGGTAACCAGGTACACCCCCAACAGAGCCCAGCAGCAATGGCCAGAGCTGACGAGCAACAACGAAATTGTTACGCCAATTAGCGTCAGCAGTAATGGGGTAAACGTTTAGCCATTAGTGCCAAGTGTATAACCGTCACCCATAAGTAATCCAAACTGAGAAAGATGTCAAACGACTCAAACATGGCATGAGATCTCCCCCATTTTGTACATGAAGGTTTTCATGAAGACTGTGATCACAAATATACATAGAAACGTAAGGGACAATCTACTTCCTGCTTTGACTGACGTTCCTAAGAACTTCCAACAAAGCACGAGAATCAGACCCCGCCTTGCTTCTTGCTGCTAGCTTGGCCAGTGGAGGGAGGCACCCCTCAGCCATTATTCTACTAACCATGGCATCCCCGCCATGCCGTGCCAATGCCAGCAGTGTGGACGCTGCCTTGCCAGCAGCGAGCTCCGAGCTCCCCTCCATCACATCCACCAGCGTGCACAGCGCATCGTCATCCGCTCCAATGGCCTCTACGCCCACCTTGGACCGCGCTAGTGCAGCCAGCAGCGACGCAGCCTTCTCCTCCACCCCCTCGCTTTGCCTCTCCAGCAGAGCCACTGCCAGCGGCACCACTCCCAGCACCACGGCCTGCTCTGCTGCCTGCCGCACAGTCACCAGGCCATACAGCGCCAGGCAGCTGTCCTTCTGTGCCCGGGCTGTCTCTGCTGTCTCAAGGAGCCGCACCAGGTGCGGCACGGCACCAGCGGAGCACACAAGGCGCCGCCTCTCCTCCTTGGTGGATGACAGAGTGAAGAGGGCAGCTGCTGCATTGGCCATGGTGGCTTCACTCGCCCCCCCCTGCCTGTCCGCCTCACCTGCCGCTCTCAGCACGTCCACCAGCACGTGGATGCCACCGCCTGCCACCACCTCCCTCGCCGCCTCCCCAGCCACACACAGATACAGCAGAGCGGCGCATGCACGCTCCGCCGTGCTGTGCTCCTCGCACCTCACCACGCCCAGCAGCGGCGCCACCCCGCCCGCCTGCACCAGCCTCATGCGATTCTCCGCCGCTTCCTTCACTGCCACGTGGATGGCATGCGCCGCGTCTCGCCTCACTGCCACGTCAGCGTTCTGCAGTGCGTCCACCAGCGGCCGCATCTCGCACACGGGCGCGTCCTTGCTGCGGCGGCGGGTGCCATGCGGCGAGTTGGCGCACTGCAGCTGGCGGTGGGCGAGCGCCGCACTGGAGGAAAGGTACGAGCTGAGAGCCGCGTCAGCAGCATCGTCTGCTGACGTGGCAGCGAGCTGGTGGTTGTGGCGGTGGGGGCTAGCGAGGTGCGCCGCTGAGGGGCTGGCGGCGGCGCTGGAGGCAGCGGTCCAGTGGAGCGAGGCGGTCTCGGAGAGCGGCGACATGGTGCGACACAGCGACCGGCTGCTGCCCGTGCGGCCCATGTGCCACGGAACCACCCCATTCGCACTCGCCGCGGGTGACGCCAGAGATTCTTCCCCGTGTCCCCCGCGAGCGGAGGAGATGCGGTTCGGTTGGAGCGAGTGGCGGCGCTGCAGCGGAGAGGGCGACGGCAGGGGCGAGCACGGCGAGCGGTGCGGGGGAGAAGCGAGCGCGCTTACGACAACTGGCGCTGAGCGAACAGGGAGCACGGCTTGAGAGGCAGCGAGGGGAGACGCGGCGATAAGCGGAGGAGGCGGAGGAGGGGGGGAAGGGACGGGCATGGCGTGAGCGTCGCACCAAGCCGCAATGAGCTGCCGGAGGGCGTCGTTCGGGATGAGCGCGCAGTCCGTTAGTGGCCTCCCCGTCTTGGGGCAGAGGCAGCCGCCCTGCGCAAGGAAGTGCTTAATGCCAAGGCGGTCGTACGACTGGCCCCACGGCGCGATGACGGGGTCGCGCATGATGTCGCCCGACAGAGGACACAGGAACTCCGGTGGAATGAACTCCGTAAAGCCTGTGTCTGAAGGGAGCGTCATCTCGGGGAAGGATGAGGCGGTGCCAGAGAGTCGCACTGGCGAGACGGACGGGTGAAGGCACTTGACGTCCGCCATGGAAGCCGTGGCGGCGATGCTGGGAAACACGGACAGCAGCGACGACGGACACGAGAGCTACGACACTGAGAAGACGGAGGCCAGCTGAATGTCGACTTGGAATGCGGGCGAGCGATGGAATGGGGAAGGTGAGAAACAACGAATTGGGAACACGAAGACGCGAAAGTAGATTTCATGGTGTCGCAGTGTGGTGTCTCCTCGCGACGCGCCGCCTTTGATAAAGTACACGAGAAGTAGCACGGCAAAGCAGGAAACAGGTTCACAGTGGCAGTTATGGTGGCGTCACGTGCTGACTTGGGCACATATGGCGGCTGGATGTAGGTGGACTCTTGGATACGCGGTAGGGCCATCTCTTGACGCGTGGTGTGGAGGTTCCAGAATCCAAATGCCAGTAACGACGGTTTGGAGCAGCGTAGTTGGTGGGACGGGTTTCGCTTCACGCCCACAGTCATGCTCGCGCAGCTGCCCGAACATGCGAAAAGTGTTCCAGCGAACGCTTTGAGGGCGGACCAGACTGTAACCCGTTATACGAATGCCATTCGCCATTTCGGACACCCGCAAGCTTTGCGGCGAAGAAAGTGGTGGGCCGCCATGTCACCGCCAGTCGCCCAAATCTCCATTTCGATTTCAGTTTCCGAATTCGCGGGTCTCATTGGCCCGCCTTGTCGCCAGGCAACGAACAAACCTTAGGGGCACGAGGTGCGACGTTTCAGTCCGTGGGGATTTCCGCACGCCCGATTGCCTCCCCCAACCAGAAAATCGCCTTTCTGTTACACTATGAGCGACCTGCTTCAAATACCGCTGGGCGCAGAACCGCCCCTGCGAAGTTCACGTGCTCGCCATAGGCAGCGAAGCTGCCAGACTTCGCTGTGTGATAATTCAGCTGTAACATAGGCATGGAAGAGTGTTCATTGTACGGCACACACCCTATTTCGTATAGGTCCAACCTGACAACAGTTCCTTCCTACTTCGACTTCTTTCCTGCAATCTCCTACATTCACCTCACCGCACACAACACGAACATCGCCCCCAGGAGCAATTTTCCCACACGAGCCGTTACCCCATGCTTCATGGTTTCGTCCCTGGTGGCGCGGCCCCGAGAACACCACCCGCAGGAGGAGCTCCCCCCATGGGTGGTCGGGGGGGAGGAGGAATAGCCGTGCTCGGCCTTGGTGCACCCCCACCAGGCCCCCCCACACCAGGGGCAGGAGGAGGGGGGGCTTGCCCTGGCCGCCATCCCCCCTGGTGAGCTTGGGGAGGAGGAGGCATGGAATATCCCTGCCCTGGTGGGGGGTACGGGGAAGGGGGAGGGCCACCAGGAGTGGGGTAGCGGGGAGGGGGAGGGTAGCCTCCCCCTGGTGCTCCGCCATGGGGAGGAGGGGGGGGATAACCTCCCCCTGGTGCTCCGCCATGAGGGGGAGGGGGGGGGTAGCCTCCCCCTGGTGCCCCCCCATGTGGGGGAGGGGGGCGATAGCCCCCCCCTGGTGCTCCGCCATGGGGGGGAGGGGGGGGCATGCGAGGGGGAGGGGCATACTGCTGTGGAGGGGGCGGAGGCTGGTTCTGTTGCCAATGCTGGGGGGGAGGTGGTGGCATCTGGTGTGGGGGGTACTGTTGGGGGCGCATCTGTGGAGGGGGGTGGTAAGGGGGGGCAGGAGAAGAACCCGCGCCACCATAGGCAGGGGGAGGGGGCGGGCGGTAGGGGGAAGGTGCAGATGGGGGAGCGGGGGGGGCGGGGGAGGTGTACGGGCGAGGAGGGGGAGGGGCGGCAGCAGGGGGGATGGAAGGCGGAGGCGGGCGAGAGGGGGGAGGGGGAGGGGGAGCGGAGGAGGGGGGAGCAGCGGCAAACATGGTGTGTGGGCGATGGCGTGTGGCGGTGGGGTTGTTGGCTGCCAGCAGGCGCTCTGAGGGAGGGGGGGGAAGGGGAGAAGGGGACACGCACGAGCAAAGGGAAAGGGAGGGGAAGAAGAGTTTACAAGACGGGTAGAGAGACAGCGTGAAAGTACAAAAGAGGCAGAGGGTTGTTGCAGCGAAGATGAGATCAGCGAATCTCAGAAGTCCTTAGGAAGTGCAAACTCATAGTACGTACGTGCCAAAATATCCCGCACTCGAACCACTCGCAAATCAGACATAGCAGGCACAGAGAGAGCAAATACCTGCGGGGGTGCCGTGTCGCTCGCCCTTGGTGTCCTTCTTGAAGGCGTACGACACGGAGATGGCGCGGTTGCACAGGTACTGCCCATTCATCGCCTGCACGCAACGCACGGGCCGCAACCAAGGAGAGCAGCGCGTTATTCGCTCCTCACGCCAAACCCAATCCTCGTTACAGGAATCAGCGAAACACAAGAAACAGGAAACACAAGACGCAATGCCTCGATGGCAGCGTGCAACAGTCACCTCGATGGCGGCATCCGAGGCCTCAAACGAGTCGTAGCTGATGAAGCCAAAGCCCTTGGAGTTGCCGCTCTCTGGATCCCGCATGATCTGCAACCAACCATCAACCATCAACCATCAACCATCGACCATCAACCATCAACCATCAACTATCAACCACCAACCATCAACCATCAACCACCAACCATCAACGATCAACCATCAACCATCAACCATCAACCATCAACCATGCCATTCCAAGCGTATCAGGGAGGCAGCATTTGCCATTACAGCAAGTAGGCAGCTGCATGCATGAGCCGTTGATGGAGCAGTGGGCGAAAAGCACGCATTCACTGGGGAAGGATGGAGCAAAGCACAGAGGACGTGCTGCCACGACATACAGTAAGGTGCACCTTAGGGCTGGGCGGCACACCTTGGGGTTGGTGACGATGACACCGAAGGCACTGAAGGTGTCGTACAGCACCTTCTCGTCCACGTCCTGCTCATGTGCATGCAGGCATCCAAGGAAGGAGGATGGAGCGATGCGGGGGTGAACCCAATGGAGGGGGATTATATGCAGGGGTGAACCGAACAGCAGAAGTCAGCAAAAGAAAAGCGACGCGAAGGGGGGAGGGAAGGAGGGAGGGAGGGGGGGGGGGGGGCGGAAGAGGGTTGAAAGTTTAAGGTTTCTGGTTAAGGGTGGAGGTGAATCAAATGGAGAGAGCTGGAAGGAGCCATGAAGGAGGGATGCGAGCAATGAAGCAAAGCGGGAATTTTGAAGGAGCTGCTAAAGCGACTGGCAGGGGGAGAGACGGGGTGAGTGGGAGTCTCACGGGGTCGAGGTTCCCGATGAAAAGGTTGGCGCCCACATCGACGGTGCGGCGGTCCTGGCTGGCCTTGTTGACGCGCATGGGGCGCGCAAACACCTTCACCATGTTGAGCACCTTCACCGCCTGCAGGGGGGGGCGTGGCAGCCATGGATGCGGCAGCAACAGCAGAGGCAGCAGCAACAGAGGCAGCAGCAACAGAGGCAGCAGCAACAGAGGCAGCAGCAACAGAGGCAGCAGCAGCAGAGGCAGCCGCAACGATTGTGAAAACCCCAGGATCAGCAGCGGCTTCACTACCTCCTCTTTATGGCAGTGTGACAGCAACAAATCTGATCGTCAGGTGTGGCGTTTTCAGACGCGACAGTGCGAGAAGTGGGTGCGAGTGTTGGGAGTTCTCTCACGGGCTTGGCAAGAAATAAGGTGTGCGGCGACGCAGTGACCCGATTGCCATGATGCAATCGTTGCCCCTTCTCCATAAATGAGAGGGGTTTGAGAACAAAGGCCCCTTGTCCATAAATGAGAGGGGTTTGAGAACAAAGGCCCCTTGTCCATAAATGAGAGGGGTTTGAGAACAAAGGCCCCTTGTCCATAAATGAGAGGGGTTTGAGAACAAAGGCCCCTTGTCCATAAATGAGAGGGGTTTGAGAACAAAGGCCCCTTGTCCATAAATGAGAGGGGTTTGAGAACAAAGGCCCCTTGTCCATAAATGAGAGGGGTTTGAGAACAAAGGCCCCTTGTCCATAAATGAGAGGGGTTTGGTTTGAGAACAAAGGCCCCTTGTCCATAAATGAGAGGGGTTTGAGAACAAAGGCCCCTTGTCCATAAATGAGAGGGGTTTGAGAACAAAGGCCCCTTGTCCATAAATGAGAGGGGTTTGAGAACAAAGGCCCCTTGTCCATAAATGAGAGGGGTTTGAGAACAAAGGCCCCTTGTCCATAAATGAGAGGGGTTTGAGAACAAAGGCCCCTTGTCCATAAATGAGAGGGGTTTGAGAACAAAGGCCCCTTGTCCATAAATGAGAGGGGTTTGAGAACAAAGGCCCCTTGTCCATAAATGAGAGGGGTTTGAGAACAAAGGCCCCTTGTCCATAAATGAGAGGGGTTTGAGAACAAAGGCCCCTTGTCCATAAATGAGAGGGGTTTGAGAACAAAGGCCCCTTGTCCATAAATGAGAGGGGTTTGAGAACAAAGGCCCCTTGTCCATAAATGAGAGGGGTTTGAGAACAAAGGCCCCTTGTCCATAAATGAGAGGGGTTTGAGAACAAAGGCCCCTTGTCCATAAATGAGAGGGGTTTGAGAACAAAGGCCCCTTGTCCATAAATGAGAGGGGTTTGAGAACAAAGGCCCCTTGTCCATAAATGAGAGGGGTTTGAGAACAAAGGCCCCTTGTCCATAAATGAGAGGGGTTTGAGAACAAAGGCCCCTTGTCCATAAATGAGAGGGGTTTGAGAACAAAGGCCCCTTGTCCATAAATGAGAGGGGTTTGAGAACAAAGGCCCCTTGTCCATAAATGAGAGGGGTTTGAGAACAAAGGCCCCTTGTCCATAAATGAGAGGGGTTTGAGAACAAAGGCCCCTTGTCCATAAATGAGAGGGGTTTGAGAACAAAGGCCCCTTGTCCATAAATGAGAGGGGTTTGAGAACAAAGGCCCCTTGTCCATAAATGAGAGGGGTTTGAGAACAAAGGCCCCTTGTCCATAAATGAGAGGGGTTTGAGAACAAAGGCCCCTTGTCCATAAATGAGAGGGGTTTGAGAACAAAGGCCCCTTGTCCATAAATGAGAGGGGTTTGAGAACAAAGGCCCCTTGTCCATAAATGAGAGGGGTTTGAGAACAAAGGCCCCTTGTCCATAAATGAGAGGGGTTTGAGAACAAAGGCCCCTTGTCCATAAATGAGAGGGGTTTGAGAACAAAGGCCCCTTGTCCATAAATGAGAGGGGTTTGAGAACAAAGGCCCCTTGTCCATAAATGAGAGGGGTTTGAGAACAAAGGCCCCTTGTCCATAAATGAGAGGGGTTTGAGAACAAAGGCCCCTTGTCCATAAATGAGAGGGGTTTGAGAACAAAGGCCCCTTGTCCATAAATGAGAGGGGTTTGAGAACAAAGGCCCCTTGTCCATAAATGAGAGGGGTTTGAGAACAAAGGCCCCTTGTCCATAAAATGATGCCCCTCCGTGTTCTCTCGCTCAGATGTCATCACCACCCCCCTCATGTGCCACCAAACCCCCCTCACAAGTCACCCCCCTCCTTCACCCCCCCCCTCCCCCCCTCACATAGTCGGCGTCCTCTTCGGAGCGGAACTCCACGAATCCGTAGCCCTGGTGCTGCCCCGTCACGCGGTCCTTGGGCACATACACGTTCACTGCATGCAGGGGGGGTGGGGGGCACGTGCGGGCGTGAGGAATGCAGGAGAGGAGTGGGGGATGTGAGAGAGGGGAGAGAGTGATGGGACGGGGAGAGGGAAATAGGTTGAGGGGAGTGGAAGAGAGGGAGTGAGGAACGAGAGGGAGGAGGGGAGATAGGGAGGAGAAGCCAGGGAAGCAGGAAAGAGCGGAGCGACAACAGGCATGTCTGTGACATTGAAATGCAACAACTCCCACCCATTTCACTTCCCTCCCGTTTTCTGACGCCCGTTCACCCCTCTATAGGCCTTCCAAAAGTCCCCAGCCCCGCCGGCCTGCCCCCTTTCCCCTTCCCCATGATTACCCCGCACACAACTCCCCCCCCCCTCTCCACGGCGTGCGCTCACCGACGGGCCCCGCCTGCACGAAGAGCTCCCAGATGAGCTCCTCCGACATCTGCGCGCGCTCCACGTCGCACGGTTCGAGTCCCGCGTAGCGCCGCGTTTTTGGGCGCGAGCCAAGGTGCAGTGGCGGACGCGGGTGGCGCGGCGGGGAACCGGGGGGGAGAATGGTGGACAAGGGGCGCAGGGGGGAGGAATGGAAGCGGGAAGGCGAGGGAGGATGCGGGGTTAGGTGGCGGAAGAACGGGGCGCGGGGTGCAGGGAGGTGGCACGCGGTAGTCATGCGCCACTGTGACAAGGGCGGGTGCGCTGTGCCGCAAGCACGACACTGCGAACCAACACGCACACCCGCGCGCATGCAAGAAACGCTCGTTATACGCTGAGAGCACTGCACGGCGCAACGCGCAGCGCACCTGCGGGTCGAGGTTGCCGACGTAGGCGGTGGCGTCCTGGTTGCGCTCCTGCGCGTGCTGCCCGATCAGGTTCGCGCCCACGCCGGGCGTGATCCGCGTCGTCATGCTCGCCCCGCTCGCCCCGCTCGCCCCGCTCGCCCCGCTCGCCCCGCTCGCCCCTTGCCCTTGCCGTGCACTCCCCCCACGCGCACCCTCGCGCGATCTACTGTTTCAAGGCTCGCAGGTCACGAACCGCCCATGAATCGCCTGATCGGCTGTCGGGCTCTCGTTGCCCGCTACTACTACTCGCCCTCCCCTGCCGGCAGTCGCCTGGCGCCTCACGTAGAGCTTGCGACGGGCGTCGCAGCGAGGAAAAGGAGGCGGACGTGTCGTGAGAGGCAAGAAGAAAAGGTGGGAGTGCGATGGGAGATGGCGGGAAAGATGGGAGAAAAAGATACTTTCAAACGACTGAGCCAGGACAAAACGATCCCAAAACACTTCGCTCCCGGGTGGGCTTGAACCACCGACCTTATGGTTAACAGCCATACGCTCTAACCAACTGAGCTACAGGAGCTGATGTCTGACTGAAACAAAATGTATTAAACCTATTATAAAACTAGAAGACCTGATCCGCATCCTCCAGCGAAACTGATGTTCATCAACCCACCATGGCTACCGCAATGCTCGCCTCAGCGGCTGTGACGCTCCCCCTGCGCTCAACGGCGGCCATCCCCGCCGCCCTCTCCTCCGCGTCCACCCGCGCCATTCCCACAGCGCTCTATGGCCGCATCTCCGCTCCGCGCGCCGTTCCCCGTGCTCAACGCGCCCTGGTGCGCGCGCAGGCGAGCGATGAGGGGAGCAGCACGGCGGAGATCGCGGGGGCCGTGGGCGGGCTGATCTCCGTGCCCGTGGTGGCGTGGTCGCTCTTCACCCTCAAGACCACCGGTCAGCGCCCACATCCGCGCCGATGCCGCCATCCCTGACATTGCCGCCATTGCCGCCATTGCCGCTATGCGAGCATTTCATTGTCATGCTGCTAGTCGCCGAAGAAGCGTGCGATATACACACCCGTCTTCGCCGCCCATGCTTCACACCCGCCCATGCGCCTTCCCTATTCCGCTCCTGCGCTGCCCCCCCCTTGCCCCCTCCTCCCCCCCCCACACCCCCAGGCTGCGGGCTGCCCCCGGGGCCGGGCGGCAGTTTGGGCGCGCTGGAGGGCGTGGCGTACCTCGCTATAGTGGGTCTCGTGGGGTGGTCGGCGTACACCAAGGCGACCACGGGCAAGGGGCTGCCCAACGGGCCGTACGGGCTGCTGGGCGCGGCGGAGGGGCTGGCGTACCTGACGCTGGTGGCGGCCGTGGTGGTGTTCGGGCTGCAGCTGCTGGACTACGGCTACATCCCCCCGCCCGTGCCCGGCGAACAGTGCTTCGGCTGACCAGCACCAGAGGACGCGCAGGGGGGAGAAGGGAGGGTGTAGGCACAGCACGGAGCTGGTACTGCATGCTTCCTTGTCGCCTGGACGCTTGCTCTTAGGGCTAATGTGACACTGCCTCGTCCAGTTGACTTGAGCTCTTTGTGCTTCAAAGTGTCGTCGCCAAGGTTTGGGTGGTTGCTGCTGAAATTGGAACCTTCGAAACGGGGTGAAAGGGCCAAAGGTTTCTGTGCAAGGAAGCTTGTGTCATGTGGCGAAGACTGCATGAAGCGCGGTGCGAATATACCGTCCGTAGCACATTTGACTGCAATGCAGACATGGTGCAGCCGCATGTGCAGGGTACAGTGACATGACAGCACTTGTCACCCATCACCTACTACAATCGTCATTCCCTTGGCCGCCGCATGCCATCATCATCTCCCCTCGCATGCCACTTGCGCTCGCCATCCTCTTCTCTTGGCCGCTTGGGCTTGTCACTTCTGTCCCTGCGCCCCTCCCGTTGCTCCTCCTTCCACTCGCTCCTTCCCCCTCTCCGCTCCTCCAACTCATCCTTACCTCGCCTCTCCTCCCTCTCCCCATGCCTCTCCTCCCTCTCTCCACGCCTCTCCTCCCTCTCCCCACACCTCTCCTCTCCAGCCCGTTCACTGCTCCCCTCCTTTCTTCTCGCATCCCTACCCCTGCCTCCGGCCTCCTCTCCCCTCGCCCGATCTGCTCGCCCTTCCATTGACGCTCCTCGGAGACCGCCTCCCCGCTGCACTGCACTTTCCCTCTCACCATGCTCAGCCCTCTCTTTCCTCTCCCTTCGCGCATCCCTCTCACGCCCATTCTCCCTCTCGCGCTCTCCCCCCTCAGCTTGTCTTTCGTTTCGCCTCCCCTTCTCCCTCCTATCACCACCTCTCTCCCTCCCACCGTCTGTCCCACCCACCCTTCCACCCATCACCTCCTCATCCTTCCTTCCTCGCCCCTGCCCTTCCTCTCTCGCCCATCTCTGATTTCTGTCACCACCGCCCTCCCCTTCTCCCCCCATCTCCACCCCTCGTCCCCTATCTGGTCTCCCACCACGCCCTCTTCCCCCACCGCCACTCCCACCACCCCATCTCCCACCACCTCCTTGCTCGTCGTGCTGCTGGCCATTCGGCCTGCTGCTGCCCTCAGTTCGACCTGGCCCCCTCACCACGTCCTCCTTGCCGCCCCACCCCGTGTCCGCGTTCCTCTGATAGGGGCCAGACAGGGAGCAGAGGTACAAAGCAGAGGGCTATGGGATGAGACTTACATGTTTATGTCTCGAAAGAAATACAGACTTGCTTAAGAAGGATCGCGTCCAACCCTATTCTAGATTAAAGCCCGCGGTCCGGATTCTCCAAAAGTTTAACTAGGGGAACTGACCGAAGTTTTGGCCAACCTTCGCTGAAATTGGTGACTTGCCAAAGGGGTTGAGAAAAAATAGGGAATTTTCACTAACACAACACAACGTTGCGCAACTCCGAGTTACAGTCTGCGTTGATGGGCAAAAGTTTCGCTTGACTCGATTGCAGTTGGTAATTCGTCGCGTAACGAACACGCCCTTACACCCACGGACTGCGTTTTGGACCTCCAGTCCATATTGTCCAGGGAACAGTGACTTTGTTTAACAATCCAGCGACTTGCTCGTTGGTTTCCCCCACCTCCCCTGGTCATTCCACATCGTTTGCGAGGACTTCTCGGGTATCCCGATTTCATCTGTTGAACAAACCCCAGAACTTGGACAATCCGGACAGCGGGTTAAGTAAATCTCTTAATGGGGAGCAAGTGAGGTCTGGCCAGGGTTCATGTGGCAGCGCACCTGGGCGTCATGGGAGAAGCGGCAGTTGTCGCCGCGCGAGCACTCCCCTCGCTGGAACGCGTAGCACACGCCGTTCTCCTCGCGGCGCTGCTGCCGCTCCTCCTCGTCCTCCTTGGCGATGCGCTTGTAGTCCGCCACGTGGTCCACCCGCACTATGCGGCCCGCCACCTTGGCGCCGTTCAGGTTGTCTGCTCCGAGTGCGCGCACGGGCCAGACGAGGGCAAGACGGCGTTTGGCAAGCGCAGGAGGAAAACACAGGCAGGTGTGAGTGTTGCTGAGTTGAGCAATCATGGGCGACATGTGTCTTGACGTAATTGATTCGAGCTGGTGTTGCCAAGTCATCAACAGGATGGGGTAAACCCATTTGAAGCACGGGCTTCTGCACGTGCAGCTGAACGCACCGACAGCGAGGACGGTACTGCGCTGGTCCTCGTACGCCAGGAATGCGAAGCCCTTGGACTTGCCGGTGCTCTTGTCGCGCACCAGATTCACATCCACCACCTCGCCGCACCTGGCGCCACCCACCAGCAGGGGCAGCGAAGGATGGGTTGAGTAAGGAGTGGCAGAACGAGAGCGAAGAGCAGCAAGACACGGGAGATAGACAGCCAGGGGGGTTGGAGCAACGCCGAGCGACGTGCGGAACGAGCAGACAGGGGACGCAGAACGAAGCTTCGCCGAGTGCGGGCGGAAGCATGGCACAGGAGCGGGAGCGGGGCGGGTACTGGCGGGTCGTACTGCGCGAAGACGGCGAGGAGGTCGCCCTCGGTGAGGTCGTACGGAAGGCCGCCCACGAAGACGTACGCGGACTCCTTGTACTTGGCGTGCCACGACGCCTCGTCCGACACCCCTCGCGCCGTCTCTCGCGCGGTGATCTTCTGCGTGTTCTTGATCTGCGTCAGCGGATTCATGCCGCCTCTGAATGCTCACGCTGAAGCTATATTCCACCGCTAACGCCGTGAGGCGTGCTCGGGCTGTGAATGCTAAGGCTGAAGCAAAATCCCGACTTATCGGCGTGAACTCGTCCAGGCTCTGAATATTCAGGAAGCTCTACTGAGACTGACGTCGTGGACCTTGCCAACGCTTCGAATGGTCGGGCCAACTGATTAGGCGGTGGCTTGAACCTTGCTCTGGTGTAAGGCAGACGCCTAGGCTAGGGATGCTAGATGCCGAATGCCAGGGCGGGTTCTTCAGCAGAGTCATACCTGCATTCGGCAGGGGGCATGAAGATCATTCTCGCCATGCCCTGTTACAAATTGGTTTTTGGCGACGACGTCTGATCCAATCCCAATGATTACATGGACTTTCACGAACTCTCACGACGAGCTCCTGGTTACACGAACTCGCTTATTGATTGATAAGGGTGTGTTTGCTGTCGAGCCTCAGATTAGCAGGCTCATCACGGCATCAAGGCTTGTCGGTTGCCTACTCCGACATCTCGCCGTGACGCACGCTGAGAGCGAGGCGAGGCGAGCCGTTCGGGGATTCCAATGAGCTGTTCGGAGATGCCTAGAATCCCTGGCGCCCTGCTCACAAGCTTCGCAGCCGCTGATCTTTAGGCATGGAGCGATGCAGCTTGCTCAAGTCTCAGCAGCCCGTTTTCAGCTATTTTCGTGCAGCGGGTGCGAGTAGGGTGCCACGCCGTCTTTGATTCCAAGGACCTTGCCGTTCTTCGTTCCTGCCGCAGGAAGCCTAATCCCACATAGATTATCGCATCGCGAGCAGCCCCTAGTGCGCGTGCGGGACTCTTTACTAGTTCGTGCTGTTGCGCTTCCTCTAGTTTATTGCGTCGGATTTTCTGCCAGTACCGCCATGGCGTTCCTTAGTCCTTTGTTGAGAAGAATAGTGCTGAGCTACTTTTATGTGGCGATATGGATCGCTTTAAGCTTTTCCGTCATTATATTCAATAAGTACATCCTGGACAGGAAGATGTACAACTGGCCGTACCCCATCAGGTGAGCATCTGGAAGCTGCCTCATGAGCCACCTCCAATTCTGTCGGATTTTTTGCATCCCCAGATTTCGCTCGTGTGCCTCATGCTCTCCGCACTTTCCGCGTCTAATCGTGTTCGAGGTGTCCCCCTTTTCTCCCCCCCCCCCCCTCCCCCCCCCCCCCCCCCCGACTCCCCCCCTCGTGCGCCAGTCTGACGATGATCCACATGGCGTTCTGCTCGTCGCTGGCGTTCGTGCTGGTGCGCGTGCTGCGCGTGGTGGACCCGGTCGCCATGAGCCTCGAGATGTACCTCTCGTCCGTGCTGCCCATCGGCGCGCTGTACGCCATGAGCCTCTGGTTCTCCAACTCCGCCTACATCTACCTCTCCGTCTCCTTCATCCAGGTGCGCTCCTCTCGTCTCCGTCATCCAGGTGCGCTCCCTCGCCCCTCTCCCTCTCCCCTTGCCCCTCCCCTCTGCTGGCGTGCCGTTGCGATCACAATGCATGTGTATCACGGCACCAGTCCTATTTAGAGGAGCCTGCATGTGTGGGTCTTCCTCCGCTTGGTTCTTATATGTGTTAGGAACCCCCAGCCTCGTTGTCCTTCCCACCTCGGTGTCCTCAGCATCATGCCTCTCCCTCATCTTCCGCCGTTCCTCCACGTCCCTCTGCCCTCCCCATCCCGACCCTGTCCGTGGGTGCCTGCATGGCCAGATGCTGAAGGCGCTGATGCCGGTGGCGGTGTACACGCTGGGGGTGGCGTTTCAGAAGGACGCATTCCGCTGCGCCACCATGAGCAACATGCTGCTCGTGTCGGTGGGCGTGGGCATAGCGGCGTACGGCGAGGCCAACTTCAACTTCACGGGCGTGCTGCTGCAGCTCGCCGCCGTCGCCTTCGAGGCCACTCGCCTCGTGCTCATCCAGGTGCCACCTCTGCCCACCTGTACTCTTCACCTTGTACTTACCACATGCTCACCGATTTCCCCCATCCTTTGCCGTGACCTAGCGGCTGATGACCTGGGCAAGTAGCTTCGTGCTGGGGCGACTGAAGCTTCCGTCACCACAATCGCCCCACGCCCCACTTGCTGCCTCCGCGATCCTCTGTCCGCTCCCCACTCGTTACTCCCTCCCCCCCCCTGCAGATCCTGCTGGCGTCCAAGGGCATTTCGCTGAACCCCATCACGAGCCTGTACTACGTGTCGCCCACGTGCCTCGTCTTCCTCACCATCCCCTGGTTCTTCGTCGAGTACCCCTCGCTCGCGCCGCACCTGCTCGCTCCGCGCCCCGACCTGCTGGTGTTTGGGGGCAACTGCGTGTGCGCCTTCGCGCTCAACCTCGCCGTCTTCCTGCTCATCGGCAAGACGTCAGCGCTCACCATGAACGTCGCAGGTCAGTAGGCTTCTGCAGGTCCGCACGCTTCTCATGCTTTGCTCTTCATCGCATGTGTCGCATCATTTGGTCAAGTCTGGACGTTCTTGGTGCTGTGCGTGTCTTAGAGCTGCGTGGGTGTTGCCCTTGTTCTGATGGTTGCGTGGCAGGCGTGGTGAAGGACTGGATGTTGATTGCCTTCTCCTGGTCGGTCATCAAGGATAGGGTCACCGCCATCAACCTGATGGGGTACCTTCTGGCGTTTGGTGGCGTGTGCTGGTATAATCACTCCAAGTTGCAGGTGAGCCAGCTGGATGTCGATCCTATGAATTGCTGCTGTTTCGTGGCTTTGAGTTTTCTCTCCTATGTTCTCTGCTGTGTAATTCAATGCCACCTGTCACTCATGACATGGTGTACGTTGCACAATGAGCAGGAGATGAAGGCAAAGGATGCCGCAAGGAAGGCTGCGCAGTTGGATGAGGAGAAGGGGCTCATTTCAGATGGTTCGACCACAGACTCGGTAGTGCAGAAGAGGCAATCTCAAAGCTCCTAGTGTGTTCAGTCGTACCGTGGCTTCGTAATATGCAAACAAGCTTAGTTACAAGCTTGGCTTCTGTCTGTGTACCTTTCATTCACCAGGGAAACCATAGGATTTTCCTAGTGTGCTCTTATCTGTGTTGCTACACTTTGAAGTGCACAAAGAGGGCACATGTGAGGCAAAGTGCAGAGCGCCACGTGGCTCGATGTCAACCATGTCTGCCCCGCTCTGCAATCGGTGACACCTCATCAGTCCGTCAGGCGGGTTGACCGACATTCCCAAGGAATGCTTGCACTCGCCCGGTTATGAGGCTGCTGCCTTGGCTCACACAACTCATGCTTGCTACCTCCTAGAGCACCACCACCACTCCACTTACCGCTGCGCGTGCCGTGAGTCGCGACCTGAATCACGGTGGTAAGCCGTCTGCAGTGACACGACGGTTGGGCTTCGTCCCGCTCATAGATATCGCTTTGCGAGTGGGAGGTGCTGCTGCGCCATCTCATCTCACCCCTGCGCTCTCACGCCGCCCACCGCCTGCCGTTCATGTCGACTCTTCGAGTCACTTCCACGGGATTGCGGGCTCCACGGTCGGTGAATCTCGACCATGCGACGATTCAGGTGCGACGAATTGCGACAGCTAGGTTTCGAGAGCTTCTAAGGACAGGCGTGGACTAGCGGAAAGCAACCCTAATGACTACTTACCGCTATTACTTGCGAATTCTCTTGAGATCCTCACCGCTCATGCTGCTCCTCCTTTCTCCTCCCGACCCTGCACTGGCCAGACGCGCCCGTGCTTGAGACTGCGTCCAGCGCCACCAGCTCTCAGCGCTTCCCGCCATCCACTAGCGCTGCTGCCGCGTCGCCCGAATGGCCTCCCCTCATCGTATCGCAGCGGCTTGCAGCGGGTATGCGCGGATTCGAGAGGGAGCGGGAGTCACGAGTGCGCGGAGGAGCGAGTAGACGCGGAGAGAGGGGTCGCAGGAGAGACAGCGGAGGCTGCTGTGGGCGACTCGCACGGCGAAGAATCAGGTGAGCGGGCGAGCCAAGGCGGGCCGGCAGGAGTGCGGTGGAAGCGATACGCGATTGTGGGCGGTGAGGCAAAGGCCGCTGAGCCATGGGTGCGTGCAGCTGAGCGTCGCGGCTGTGGCGGTGGGGAGTCGTGGCTTCCGCTGCTCGAAACTCTTTGGTGCCTTCGAAAGTACTTGTCAGCCCTGATCCCACCCTGGTCCCTCCCTCCCCTCCTCCCTCCCCACCTCTCCTTCCCCCTATCACTTACAGCACCACCACCACCCACATCCCCCCTCCTCCCCGCGTCCACGGCGCTGCTCTCCGCGGCGTTCCTCGCCTTCTCCCCCCTCACGGGCGGGTTCGACCTGGAGGGGCCGGGGTCCGTGCTGCAAGCTTTGGGCGTGCTGGCGCTGATCGTGGCGGTGCACGAGGCGGGCCACTTCCTCGCCGCGCGGTGGGTGGGCGTGCACGTGACCAAGTTCTCCATCGGGTTCGGCCCCGTGCTGGCCAAGTACCAGGGCAAGGGCAAGGACGGCAGCACGGAGAGGGGCGTCGAGTACGCCGTCAGGGCCTTTCCCCTCGGCGGCTTCGTCGGCTTCCCCGACGATGACCCCAGTGAGGAGGCGGTGTACCCCCCTGACGATCCCGACCTGCTCAAGAACCGCCCGCTCAAGGACCGCGCTCTGGTGATCAGCGCTGGCGTGATTGCCAACATTGTGTTCGCCTACGCGCTGCTCTTCACCCAGGTGCGCGGCGGGCGGAGGTTGCATGGTGGTGGCCTGACACATCGACTTTACATTGCCATTGCAGTGACATGAGAATGATCTGTTGTTTGGCATTGCACTAGCACTGCAGCATCATGGCATCGTCATGGTATTCATGCAGCATCCCCCCCGTCTCTCTTTCCCCACATCAGGTGAACACAGTGGGTCTCATCCAGCAGGTCTACCAGCCCGGAGTGGTGGTACCTGACGTGGTGTACGGGTCAGCAGGCGAGAGAGCGGGGCTGCTGCCAGGCGACCTCATAGTGGCGGCAGACGGCACGCCGCTACAGCCGTCCAACACTGCCGTCTCGGACCTCGTCAGCTACATCCGCTCCAAACCGGGGCGCCCCATCACCCTCGACGTGCTGCGCTCCGTGCCGGCGCCAGCACTGAGGGGCGGGGAAGAGGGGGAAGAGGGGGAAGAGGGGGAAGCGGGGGGAGCGGTGGCAAGGGAGGGGGAGAAGCGGGTGGTGAGTGTGAGGGTGGTGCCGGACGTGTCGTTCCGCGACGGGTCGGGGCGCATCGGCGTGCAGCTGGCGCCCAACTCCTTCCAGACGCAGGAGCGCGCGGACAACCCCCTGGAGGGGGCGGTGGCAGCGGGAAAGGAGTTTGGGCGACTGATGGGCGCGGTGGTGGACGGGCTGCAGCAGATCCTCTTCAACTTCGGGGACACCGCCGACAAGGTCTCCGGCCCCGTGGCCATCGTGGCGGTGGGGGCGGAGGTGGCGCGCACCAACATCTCGGGGCTCTTCCAGTTCGCCGCCATCGTGAACCTCAACCTGGCGGTGGTGAACCTGCTGCCTCTCCCTGCTCTAGATGGCGGGTACCTGGCGCTGCTGGCGGTGGAGGCGGTGCGCGGCGGCAAGAAGATCCCCACGGAGGTGGAGAGGGGCATCATGTCGTCGGGCTTCCTGGCGCTGCTGGGCGCTGGTATTTTCCTCATTGTCAAGGACACCATCAACCTGGGGTTCATGTGACCACGGTGCCACATCCATATGCCGCATAGCGGGTGCTGCCTTGGGTGCCTTGCGCGCTGCACTCATCCAGGTGCCTGCGGTGCTGGGGCAAGCTGTGAGCTCTACATGACCTCAAAGAGTAGAGTACATAGTACTATGCATGCCAAACAGAGAAGGAATGGTCGGCCCTGTTTTCGCACACCAATGCACCTGTTATTTACCATATGGTAAGAGTACATCCTAATGCCTGTCTTCGCAGGAAAATTGCATGGCAGCAGAGAGCTGAGAACATTCCAAATCACCAGCAAAAGAGGGGCAGACACATGAGCAATAAGGCTGCAGCATCTATTATGAGGGCAGCTCTCTAGCGCATAAAAGGCCCTACCATGGAGCCCTAACGCCATCAGTATGAGTGCATTCCATCCCATGGGTGCACTCCAACTAGCCGTCACTCCTCATCCTCCCCCTCGCCCTCCTCATCCTCCTCCATCAGATCCCCCTCCTCCCTGTCCTCCATAAACCTCTCCTCCTCCTCCTCATACTCCTCCTCACTCCCCTCCTCATCGTCCTCCTCCTCATCCTCCTCCACCCATGCGTCCCCCTCAAAGTACCCATCTTCCTCCCCTCCCATCCCCGTGGCATCCTCCACCTCCACATCGCTGTCATCCCCCTCCTCATACACCGTCGCCGCCCGCACACCCCCACCACCCACCCCCCCTCTCTCGTGCCCCCCACTGACGCCCTCCCCGCCGGTGTCATGCTCGCCCTTGGTCTCCCTCACCGCCATCACCACCAGCTGCAGGCGCCCCGCCAGCTCCAGCATGGGGCGCAGCGCCGCCACCCTCGCCTCCACCGTCTGGTACAGCGCCGCCAGCGCGCGGTGCGCCGCGGGCGCGGACGCCAGCATGCCGGCGTGGCAGGTGAGCGCGGCCTGCATCCACGGCACCATGGCGCGCGCCTCCGCCGGGTGCTCCTGCACGCGCCCCGCCACCACCTCCACCAACTTCAGCGCCAGGTGCGGCGCCAGGTGGCGCACCGTGGGCAGCACGAGCTGGCGGCGCCGCACAGTCATGGCGGCTTCGAAGCACTGGCACAGCAGAGGCATGTCGCCCGCCTCCAGCGCCTGCTGCACCACCACCGACAGCGACTCCGCCCTGGGCGCCGCCAGCACCTCCAGCGTCTCTGCGCGCGCCCTGCTGGGGCTCTTTGACAGCACCAGCGCTGACGACTCGGGCTTTCTGGCGGCAGCAGGGGCGATGACGAGGCCGCTGGCGGATATGCCCAGCTCCTTCAGCTGCTCCTCTATTGTCCTCTCCCCTTCTGCTATAACGCCCTCCATCCCCTCGCTCTTGGCGACTGTGCCTGCAGCTGGTGCCAGCGCCGCTGCCTGCTCCTCTGCTGCCTTGCGCTTGTTCTTCTTCTTCCGCTCCTTCTCCCCCTCGGCCCCCCCTCCCTCCGCGAGGCTCGTCCGCAGCACAGTTGCCTGCATGGGCATGCCCCCCACTACCTGCACCCCGCCTATGTCTTCCGCCTCCCCGCCTCTTCCCTTCTTCCCCCCTTTTCCGCCCGCCTTGCCCCGCCCTGCGCATTCCTCCTGCTCCTCCACCTCCCCGTGCCCCTCCCCCACTTCCGCCCTAACCCCCGTACCCCCCGCCGGCAACAAGTCCGTCGCCTCCGGCGCGCTCAACAGAATGACACGTGGCTCGCCCTCATCGGTCTCCTGCGCCTCGTCCAAGCTAACGTTCTCGAACTGCGGCCTCGCTAGTATGCCGCGCGCTACAATCATCGGCGATCCCAACACCCCCCCAAGCAGGTGCGCTGCCAGTATCGCCTCTCTCCCCTTCTTCCCCTGCCGCACCTGCCCCTGCCCTGCGCCCTTCACCACGCGCTCCCCCTTCACCACCACGGGCTGCGCGCGCGCCAGCTCAGGGATTGTCGCGCCCGCCCATACGTACGCCTCGCCCTCCGCTGTCAGCGCCAAAACCCGAAACCCCGAACCCTCGTCGCCGCCGCCCTGTGCGCATACTACGAATTCGGGAGGCTCGGGAAGCGGCAGCACGGCGAAGGACGTGCGCTTCTTGGAAGCTTCTGAGCAATCCCACACCGCCACGTGTCTGTCGCCTTCTGCGGCAGTGAAAGCGAAGCTCGCATCAGGCGAAAACGCAATCGAGGAAACCTTTCCCGGGTGCCCGGAATATTTGCGGATCTTTTTCTTGCTGCCCGCGTCGTAAAGCTTCAGCTCCGAGCTGCCCACCATAAGCAGCGCCGGCGATTCCTCGTCCGCGCCCGCCCTCACTGCTATAGTCGACACTGGCGACTTGGACCCGCGGAACCGCGACAGCACCGCGCCGTCCGCCGCGCTCAGCTCGCTGACGTAGCCGTCCGTGCCGGCCGCGTAGACGATGGACGGCGAGGCGGCGGTGGCGGGGAGGAAGGCGAGCGAGACGACGCCGGCCGGCTCGACCGCGTGCTGCTGCCACGCCACGGCGCCCATCGCCACGTCCCACGCGATGACGTCACCGTACGCCGTGCCCAGCACCACTAGCGGGTCTGACTGCGCGCCAGCCGCGCCCTTGCCCTTCCTCTTCTTGCCTTCCTTCCCCGCCTTCCCCTCCCCCTCACCCCGCGCCCGCTCCGCCCACGCCATGCACGAGTAGCGCAGCTCCAGGTGCCCGCGCGCCCCCTCCCCTGAGTCTGCGCCGAGAGGCAGAATTTGTCCGTCCGCTGACACACGATTCGCCACGTCAGCACACTCGACGAGAAGCCTGCCGGCGACAGCGTCCCACACCTTGAGACGATTGTCCGCCATACACGTGGCGAGACGCGAGCCGTCGGCATTGAAGGCGACCAGGCGGGGCCTGCGGGATCTGCTACTATGCGCCTTATTCGACGCCATCGATGCTGCTCAGGGGCGAGAGGCGAGGTGTTGAGGAACGGAATCGTCAAACTTGAATGATCATCGGATGAAGTGATCGCGGCAAATGCATCAAAACCCTCCAGCGAGAACCCTAAATCTGGCAAGCGAGATGGCTGGTCCAAATGCGAGTGGACAAGCATTACTGCCTGGAATGGGAAGCCTCGGCTCTGACTGGATAGCGGACTCACCCTGCTTGGCGACATGTTACGCGAGTTGTTTTTCCCAGCGGAAAAACTGTAGGCGAAATCGGATTTCGCCGAAGACATTTCCAACCTGCCTGCCTCCAACCAACCAATCCCAAGACCCGCAAACAGAAATGAGTTCTCAGAAATATATATCACATTCTTAGCTTTTATGAATTTAGTGTAATGTGACGCAACACCGCGAAACCCCAACGTCCACTTTTCCCCTTCCCAAATGTCGCCCTCCAGTTTGTCAAAGAGCAGCCTGAACTGCTATTTGACGAACTTTTCTTTGTTAAACTAAGGTAGCTAGGAGTAGGAGGAAGCCATGGAATGGCGTGAGGTTTAGGAAGGAGAAAGTTGAGGAGAGAAAAGACAGAGAGACTAGGAAGAGAGAGGCATACAAGGAGGGAGTTGTACCCTCTACAGTAGAGTTCGATAAACCTACCAAGCCTACCAATTATATAACAAAATATATAATTTAACACACCCCCTAGGCTTGGTAATCACAAGCCCACCCAACGCACACACCCCCTAACCCCTTACACCCTCATGCTCGAGATCAGCCGGGTATCTACCCCTCCTGCTTGGCATGGTGACATCCCCCAGCGAGAGGCAGCGCGGGCAACGGCCATGGTTGAAGGCTTTCGGCGGTGTGGCACGGCGAGGCGACGACCGGGTAGAAGACAACAGCTGCGGTTGGAGGAAGAGAAGACGCAGGGGAAGGGGGGGGGGCGAATCTTCAGCGACGCGCCATGGGTGGCGCGGCGCTTACTGGCGGGAGAGGGCGAATCTTCAGCAAGGCACCATGGTTGGCGCGACGCTTACTAGCGTGGGGGCGTTACGACTGGCGCCTAGGACAGGGCGCTGGCCGCAACTGTTAGTGCGCTGGCGTGACGAAGCCGCCACAGCAGCATGGCGGTACGGCGGCATGGTGGGACGGCGATACGGCGGCACTGAGGCACTAAGGTACGGCGACGTGACGGGGCCAGCACGGCGTGACGGGGCCAGCGCGGAGGGACGGGGCCGGCGCGGAGTGACGAGGCCGGTGCGGCGTGACGGGGCCGGCGTGGCGTGACGGGGCCAGCGCGGCATGACGGGGCCAGCGCGGCGTGACGAGGGGGGGGGAGTACGCTACGGAACCGTGAAGAGAAGGCTCGAGCGAAAGGGGTCTATTCTGATACCATGTTAAACTAAGGTAGCTAGGAGTAGGGGGAAGCCATGGAATGGCGTGAGGTTTAGGAAGGAGAAAGTTGAGGAGAGAAAAGAGAGAGAGACTAGGAAGAGAGAGGCATACAATGAGGGAATTGTACCCTATACAGTAGAGTTCGATAAACCTACCAAGCTTACCAATTATATAACAAAATATATAATTTAACACTTTTCGCCCTTCCCAAATGTCGCATTTCTTGAAAACCGCAAATGTTGACATATCGATCCTATTCTTCGTCCATTACGCTGTTTATTATAAGAACATGCAACTTTGTGTTGAGACTAGGGTTGACAAGCGGGCGACATGGCGGGCGACGGATGCTCGCAGCATACGTCAACGCCGCCGACCATGAACACTACATATTAGTACCGCCATTAGTATATATGAACAGTATATCTTAATTCTCGAAACTCTATAGTCATGTTTGCCCGTAGCGTACCGCCATTAGGGTAAATTCAGGAGCTCTTGTCTGACACTAGTATCATACGGGAACACCCGAGGAGGAAAAAAATTGCCTCGGATCTTACGACTCCTAACGGCTGCTTGACTGGAAACACACCGTTCGCATACAAACCTACCGGTCTAGAAGTGGCGTATGTGCGTCGCCCGTCAATGTACACCTCCCAATTCGCTTTGCGACAACTCTGTGCGGTTTTCTGTACATCATCAACTCGTTTTGTGACTTCTTGCACCTCTATAGGCGCACTAACGTCAAAGTCACTAGACCCAAGGTTGAGCCTCTAAACCTCGCGGCTCCTTCGACCGCGGGTCAACCTTGGGTCAGACCCGAGGAGCAGAATATACTCTTATGCCCTGTACGCCATTTTTTATGAGCCGCGTTTTGGGAGTCTCTTGCATATGATCTGTATACAGTTTGCTGCCTGAGAAACCCACATTCGAGGGGACTCGCCGCAGTGTGACTTTACAAACTTGGCCCAAAAATCAAATTCTATTACGTGGGCTTAATCAAATACTTGGGTGTATTCTTTCTCCGCCAAGCCCTAATATGCACTGCCCCCTCCGCCGTCTTCGCCACTAATTTCAACCAATCCCACCAAAGAGGTTCAGATCTAGTTTGTGGCTTCAAATCGTGGCGACGCCGTGAAGTATCTCAAGATCGACGGTAAATCACTTTTGAAATAGACGTTTCTTTGAAATCGACGTTCTACATTCGTTTGCCGTGAGGACGTCGACCAACCTCCCCTCATTTCCAACCCAAGCCAGATTGTTGTGTTTCCGAGGGTTAGCCACACAAGATTGACGGTGGATCTGATGCTTCGAGGCAGTTAATTTCCAGATCAACGATCCGCATTCGTTTCGTGCGGAGGTAGACCATCAAACCCCGTCTCCAACCCCTCCCAGATAGCTGTGTTTCCGAGGGACAGATTCACATTTTGAACTCCCCTCGCCTCATTCCCGCATCATTTTCCCTTCCCAGCCTCGCGTTTTGCTCCATTCGATCAGCTTCATTCGACTTTGCCTATTCCACCAGAGACCAATCGAGCAATCCTAATCCAATTCCACACTTCCGATTTCGCACCACGGATTTCGCCAAGGATTTCGCATCCAGCCAGCAGCCACCATCTCGTCCTGTTCATTCATTCTGGCATGGCGGAGTGCTGGCTTCGCGCTTGTTTCTTGTCGTCCCCCGGCAGAATTACTGCTAGGCATACGACAATCCCATTGCTTGCAAGGTAATTGGCTACTTCAGTTCGTTTTATTAGCTTGATTTGCTTTCGAGATCTTTTTTAACTTTCACTCTCCGATTTCGGTACCAGCTCTAATTTCTTTTTCCCGAAATCTTCCTCTCGTATTGCAGGGAACGTCGGAGTCGCAACCGCTGCCATGCGACGTCAACTGCCGCTGAGGCATGCCTTCCAACTGCATCTCCGTCCAGCCGACGGTTCGAGCGTCTGAAGCCACGCTGCACCAGGGCTGGGCCAACCAGCCCTGTCAATTTCTGAGCCAGGCAGGGAGCAGCCACGGCAGCGCCGCACCCGCCACTCCGCATGAATGGTACGTTGACGAAACATGGCAAGGGGGGGGCGAGTAAACGTCACAGGATAGCGCGCATAGAGAGTCCGTCTGTTTCGTTTTCTGTGTAGAGTCCGAATCCATCCGTCTACTAATGCTTGCCCCATTGCCCCTTCCTTGTGTTCCCATGTGCAAGGCACTGCAAGTGCGCCTGGAGCGGCGCCCAGCACCGACCTACCACGAGCTGCCAAGCCACACATGGTTGCGGCTGCACGCTGCACGCTGCACGCTGCAGGCTGCAGGGAGTGGCGCACAGAGGACGGGACTGAGGCGAATGAGCTGTTTCCCGCGTCTGTCTCAGCCGCCTGCCGCCACCACATGCCACACCTGCATCGTCCTTCGACCAGCGCGCACGGGCCACACAGGCAGATGGAAACCAGGGTCGTTACGAGGTACGTGGGTGACGCAAGGGAGATGGGCGGGCCAGTACGTGTCTAGCATAGCGCGCAGAGGGTCTGTCCGCTTCTTACTTGTCGAGTCTTTCAGCCCTGTGCATGCCTTAATGCCTCCCCTGCCCCCTCCCCCCCCCCTTCCCACCCCCCCCCCCCCTCCTCCTCTCCCTCTTCCCCCCTCCCCCACGGCGCATGTGTCCTCGCCTGTCTGCTGCTGTGCACGAGGCACTTGGACCGGTGGTGGTGGACGGTCGTCTGCCTTACATCCGCAAAGGGCCTTCAATCATCACCGGCAATCGACCATCCCCAATTATGAGTACCTCATGTGTCGTTCGCATTGCATCATGCCATTCCCACCACTGCATGCCCAATCTAGCCTCCCAGTGGCTCACCCAGGGGACCCTCCCCAGGTCAACAGGTGCAGGTAGTCCCAGGTGATTACAGCAAGCCACGGCAGGTGACTACAGGTATGGCTCAGCTGGTATGTCCCCTGGGTAAGTCCCTTGCTGCTGCGGAGCCTTCCATTCTCCCACTGCACGCACTGCACGCACTGCACCCACTCATGATGTTGGTTGCCTTTCTGTAGCATTCTGTGTGCAGCACATAGCCCTGTTCAAGCACTTACTCCCTCCTCCTCTGCCTCGACGTTGTCTCCCTGGCAGTTCACCTGGCAAGATTGAGAAGGGTTTAAGCCTGACGCAGCAGAGGATGTGGCAGCAGCACGTCACAAGGCCGCTGCAGCGTGTACAGCAGGGTGCATGGCATGCCATGGGTCTACTACCCGGCAACTTAAAGTTGAGTATCCCACCCTACTTTCCCTTGCATTCGCCGCCATTCCGTCACTGTCGCTTGCACTTCATCACTGCAATTCCTTTGAGCTGTTGCTTCCTTTGCTGCCAGTGGCTCATCCCGAGGACCCTCCCCAGGTAAACGGTAACAGGTACAGGTACTTGCTTGCAGGTAGCCCCAGGTGGCAAGGTATGGTATGGTTCGGTTCAGGTGGTACGTCCTCTGGGTGAGTCGATGGCTGCTGTGAAGGCGCTCATGCGTCCACTGCATACACTGCACTCAACACATTGTACCTTAGTCCCCCCCACCCTCAGCCCACCCCCTTTAGCTTATTCGCCCTCGTTACCTGCCCCTTCGCGCCCCTGAGCAGGTGCTACGCGTGTGGGAGGTGGTTGTGCTGGAGCTCCCTTCCTGGCGAGCGTGTGGGGGGGGGGGGTGTCGGTGGATCAAC